TAATAGATAATTTACTTTATTAAAGCAATTTCCTTTATATTTAATTCTACTATATTGGATATAAATATTATTCTAATAATAGAATTTTATTATATATCTAATTCCTTAAAATTTAAAATACTATTAAATATTATTCAAAATTTAAAACGGTTCGTAAGGGTATACGCTACTATTCTAAAGGGAGAGATTATTCTAAAGGAAGCTCGCCGCCTTCGAAGTAACGACTTTTACTAAGAATAAGCTTCTATTCTCTCCGTCCCTTCTTTTCTAAGGCCGAACTCTTATAATAGCTACCTCTTTATTCTAATTCCTTATTGTATTTATTAATATTTCCGATATAGTATAATTATCAATACTATTTTAGGGTACGCTCCGGATTAATATATTTATAGTATTTATGGAAACGAAGGCCTTCTTACTAAAGACTTTTATAGCTTATATTTAATTTTATTAATACTAATTGTATATAAATTCATTAAAGATAATTATATAATTTCTAAATATTAGTATTCTAATAGCTACTCTAATCACTAAATTTAATTTCTTCTAACCTAAAATTATCGCTACGGTTATTTTCGTATCTTTATTCGAATAATTCATAAATTTAATAGTAATAATAATTACTCCTTTAATAAGAAATTGCCGTTCGAAATTAGAAAGAATAAACTTTTTAATAGTAATAGTAAATAATTATTAGAAGGTAATACTAATTTTATTCGGGATAACTTTCATTATAATATTAGCGTATTATTTTAATACCTCCTAAATACCTTTTTTAATCTTCTTTAGAATATCCTTCTTTAAATTATTAAAATTCTTCTTAGTAATAAACTAATCGGTTCTAACCTTATTAACCTCGGGTCGTATAGACCTACTTTTTCCGACGCGAACCTATACGAATTCGAAAAGTAATCCCTAAGCCTAATATTAATCCTTAGTCGAAATAATATCGTAGTCTGTAAATTCATTTACTCTAATAATAAATTTCTTTAATATTTTATTATCCTCCTCCGTTTTATCCGAAATCTTTATAGTAAATATGGCTTTAGGGTCGTTGTATATAGAAATTTCTACGAGCGGGTTATAGACGCTATTTTTAAGCCTACGAGTACCGCTATTTATAATTATTAGTAATAATAATATAACGCCGTCACTTTATTCGTTATAAGATATCGTAAAAGACGTAAACGACCTTCCTAAATCGATTACCATTGTTAGTTTTCGTTTTAGAGTACTCCTCAATTAGAAATTAGCGTTTCCAGTTTCGGCGTCGTTTTTTTTTGATAAGGGTAATAGAAAGTGTAATTGGGTTATAAAAGGAAGGAAAGATTAATTCGTTCTAGAAAAATAGGGGTTTTTATACCTTAAGAGTATATACTTTTAAATTTAGAGTAGGTTTTAAAATTCTTATTTAAATTTAGAGTAGGTTTTAGAATTCTTATTTAATTATATCTATCCTTTACTTACCCTTATAGGTTTTAGATAAGGGTATAAAAAACTTTATTTAAATATTCGTTAGGACTTTAAAGTACTAGGTATTTATAATTACCTCTTCCCTTTTTATAATATAGTATTAGTTTTTACCCTTTTAACGGGTAGGCCTATACTTACGTACGTACTTACGGGAGGAATTATATACGGGGCTAGACCCGTAGTATTCGAACTATTATTTATACTTTTAATTATTTTTAAACGTTGTATTTTTTCTACTTTAGTTAATCTCCTTTTTCCTATATTCGTTTAATTGTAAGTAATTTATTCTAGATTAGTAGTAAATACTTCTAATATAATAGGTATAATATATATATATTTTATAATTAATATATCGCTATAATCCCCTAACTACTTCTATATTTCGAATTCTAGAATAATCGTAAGGAGATTTTGTAATATACGTATAGGTATTTATTTATTAAATTTATACATAAGTATATATATAAGATCTAAGGATATAAAAATTTCTTCAAGTAAATCGAAGAGCCTAGGGATATTGGAATAGAGAGTTTTAATTGTAGTAACTATAAAACGGTCTAATTAAATTAAAATAAAGTTAGTTTTAAATAGTTTTATTGGGTATTTGAAAATAGTTTTAAATTTCTTTTTCGGAACGGGTAGTAGGAGATTTAAAGGGGGGTAGTACTTATTATAGTATTGTGAAGAATAGATTACAATAGGGGTGGTATTAAAGTATTAAATATTGAAATTTATTATATAATTATATAATTCCTTAAATATAGAGGTCGGGTATAGCCTAGGCTTTTGTAGTAATTTCTTCATATATAGCTTAAAGTATAGTATATTAATAAAGTTGTATATTTCTTTATACTTCTTTGTAATTTTAATACGCACCGCTTTTTTTATACTATTCTAAATACAAAACTATTGATTATTATCGCCTATACCTAACTCCTATATGACCTATTTAGTAACTATAGTATCTTTATCTTTTAATAATTCTTTACTAAATGAACCTTTTTTATCCGAAGTTTCGTCTCTATCCGAAGTAGAAGTATCCCTAATTATTAGATCAGGTAATTGAATTAGTTCTTTAATTAAAGTAAAATTTAAAGTAGTATATTGCGAAATAGTATCAATAAATATAGAAGGCAGTACGTATTGAATTTTAAGTATTAAAATAGTAGGATAGTAGTATAATTTATTACTATTAGAATATATAATAATCTTCTTTATAATAGGTTTATATAATTAGCTAAGATAGTCGAATTAATAATAAGGGATAAAATAAATCCCTATATTATATATAATTGGATTTATACGGATGGTGCGTCCGAAGTGTTAAATTAGGTCTGTAATATTATTTGATTTGACCGCGCTGTACTATACTACGTACTATATATTTGGAATATTTATACCTATACTAAGCGAAATAATAATAAGTATTATCCAGTATATAGAATTAGGCCGTTTAAAATCTTTATATATAGCTTTTTAATCCGTAGAACGGGTATTGGCATTATATTTACAGATTATTTTTATAGTATAGAAGGGTTTATAGTTGGAGGTTATAAAGTATTATAAGAGATGCGACCGAATAGAGAAAAGTAATAGCTTACTATTAATATAAATAATAGTTTTTAGAATATAATAGATTTTAGGTTGGGGGTCGCTAGGCGTTATTGCGCCGAGGACGAATTTAAATTACTAGTAGTCTTTAAGCGTATTTAGTAGAATTAGTTGGAATATTATTACGATATTAGATTAGTTAATAGAAGTACGGATAATGGAGAATTTATTTAATCTATAACCCTTTGGGCGGAAATTATTATATTTGTATATATATAACTATATTTTGTATATAAGGGTGGTTGTATATTTAAACTAAGGAATGTTAAATAGAATAATAGTTCTAATATTATAAATATTTATAAATTGCGTTTAAAAGGTACATTATTAGAATATAATATACAATTCATCTATAGTAATAAATATAATACATTGGTTGAATAAAGCTATATATAATAATTCTATAAACTTTATATATATAGCCTATTCTAAATTAAGGAGAATATACGTATAATTTCTAGACTTTAGGTCTAATTAGAAGCGAGGGTACTAATATATAATTAGTACGTATCTATTTAAATCTAATAGGAGGGGGAGAATAAAGCCCCCCCTATTAGATTTAAATTAAAAATATATAGGTTTTTACTATTATAATAGATTAATTAATTAAAATAGGTTAGGTACTAGGAAATTTAGTAATAGTATTCCGCTGCTCTTTATTAAATCGATTGAGCAGTATAATTTGAATAGTAATTTAATTAATTAAAATAATAGATACTATTTGGAAGATAATACTCTTACTATATCTTGTACGAACAATTAAAACTGTATCGCTACGTTGGTAAATAATATAATAGATAGATTTAATTTAATTAAGTCTTATATAGCGTTGGCTTAAATTTATAAATAACCCCCAATTTAATAAATAGGTAGTAATTATATTAATAAAATAGTATTATATATTTTTATTCTTAATAGATACTATATAATATAATGCCTAAGCAATCCAATTTTAGAGAGTTGGCTTAGGAGAAAGAGACGAATTAAGCTACTAAAAGTTAGTAATATAATAAAATAGTTCTATTATTTTATCGATATTAAATTTATAGCCTTTTATTGTATATACGAAGTTTTGTATATATATAATATAAGGTTATAGAAAAAGAGTATATAATTTTTCAGAATATAATTCTACGTATAATAAAAATTACCCCTATAGTATTAGTAAGTGATAAAGGCGTTGTAGAAATACAAATAAAAATTTGGAGAAATGAATATACAATTTGTATTATCCTTAGGTACTTTGTTTAATTGAGATTATAGTTTTTGTAGTAGTGTAATTATCTAATATTAGTATTAAGATAGGATATTTCTTATACACATTAAGTACTTTCGTTTAAGCTGTGTATAGACGTAATCCTAATATTATATTATTTGGCCTTGTGGGTCCAAAACGACTGCGCCACGGGGTGGCGGGGAAGTGGATGGGGGCTGACTAAGGTTGAACGTCTGTTATGAGAGACTACGCACATCACTGTTTCCTCTCTCCCAACGGCAAAGCTTGGAGAATTCTCGATCTTAGACCGGAAGGATTTCGGACGAGCACTGCTATGGAAGTGCCAATCCACAAAAAAAAAAAAAAAAAAAAAAAAAAAAAAAAAGACTCAAAGAGGGCATTCGGACGGGTCAACTGCATGCGATTCGGACGAGTTTGTCTGACGGATTAGGATCGGCCGGGCCGCACGTTGGACTTGCTTCGGACTTCTCACCGGGGACTACTAGTTAGTTTCCATCGCTCCGGAGTTGCGAATAACCTCAAGTCCCATCTCGGATCAAACGGAATGGGACAGTTGAATGCCAAGATGTCCAAAGTTGAACACTTGATGAGATTTCGATAGACCCCCTTCCTTGAGGGTGTTCTAAACTGTGTTTTTCACCACGAATAAACAACACCTCTCGCATTCGATTGCATCCCAATGCCCCTGTGTGGCTTTGGCAAGGTGTCGCACACAATCGCTACACTACGTAAGGCGTCTACGGAAGCACGACATAACACTGCAGTATCGTCACACTCAAGAAGAATAATCACACCTTCATCGTACTTCATGATAGTTACCTCTATGATAGCGATACGAGGAGTCACAAAGTTCGAAGGAGGAAACCGTTCGGCCCTGACCCCGTCTCCCCGCGTACTCCCTCTCTCCCCCCTTCTCAAAAAGCTTCCGTGCCGTTCCTTGCCCCGCGCTACGCGGAGAGGTGGGAAATTCGAGGACTGAATTACTGTGTAAGCCTTTCCGATGGCCACTACAACCCCTCCTCCTCTATCAGAGTTACATCTTGATGCCGCGCGGCTGACTGATTGATTCTCACAGGTCCAGATCAATTCTATTCGAGGGCCCGTAAGTGAGGGGTAAATGACGAGTTTTATAACAAGCGAGGGTGGGATAATAATAGCCAGCCGATGATGCACAAAGGGACTTTTTGTGTTACACGGCGAGCGACGAGGGTGCTGTCAACGCCGTCATTATGGGCACATTCTGGGCTGATGCGGCTACGTTGATCGGGATAAGGCTATGTACAGCCGTCTGATCACTGCATGGTGGTGAGAAGTTGCGGTGATGATGATTTACATGAGATGATTCGAATCGCGAATGTATGTAGCAAGGGTAAGCGCAGAAATGTCCTTTTTGAAGTCACATATGGGAAATGAGGTGAGTTGTCATTCACTTGACTGACCACAAACGTCGCAAGACCGGCGAGGTCAGCTTTCAGCGCGAGTTTGACGATAGCCTTAAAGTTTGACTCGTGCGGTAATCATTTTGCACGACTTCCACTTGCAAGAAAACTACCAGAGACTGCAACAAGAAACACTCCGTCGCTTGACACCAACTTGTGGGTCTCGTCCACCTGGGTCCAGGTACAATTATTACCCCTGCTTGGTAAGTGAGGCTCTTCTTCAACACCTCGAGTCATGCAGAATATCTTTAGTCCCCTCGTGCCACTCGTGCCACTCTTCCGGGTCATGCCGTCTACTTCCACAGTAACAGTCGCAGCCCTAAATCCACTACATTCGAGACACTAAAACACATGTGAAGGGTCACTTTGGGGTTGTGGTGCGGTTCGGTGGTGGGACCTTTCCTCAACCCCTAAGGACTCACACATAGAAACGAGGAAGAACTTCATAATTCAAGCAGCCCCCACCTTTCCTTCAACATACAGAGCAAAGAAGCTCTCCATACATGGATCGGGTATGGTGTAGCGGTAACATCGTTGACTCTCACTTCTTTCTAAAGAGTGACTGCTTTCTCAACAGCCCCGGGTTCGACTCCCGGTATCCGAGTGATAAAAACGTTTGTTTGTTTGTTCTGGTCCTGGAGGGTTCTTGTGCTCTGACAACTTTTTTGGTGACTTTTTGTTTCATATCTCCCCCCCCCCATCCTTTCTGATGCCGGTTGGTATCAATTCCCCTTGGTTGTTGGTCAAGTAGTTTTCTGCTCCCCGCAGTAAATAGGTAATTTCCAGGATATCTGGTCGATCTCGAAATTGTGCTATATATTCTGATCGAACTGATCATTAATTGACGCTTATATGAAATCCTTCCGAGTTACGAGGCGTATCTATATGGTTAACATGTTTGACTAAGAGAGCCCGAACAGGACACTTCTGTCCTGCTAGTCTGTCCCTATGCACTCTGACTCCAATACGGTTCGTCATTAGCAACACATTCCAAAGCATCATTATATACCTTGAACGCTCCTGCGTGATGCAATCACCGAGTGATTCCCTAGGCAATATTAACTTAAACCACATTACAGGCGCAGCAACTTCCCAGGTGTAATTGCTAAGAGACAAAGGATTGAGGGGTTCGACTCCAGGTTTCCTCGGATCGGTTCTACCGCTTGCACCCTCATTGGGCATTGAAGAGAGGAGTAAAGAGAGGAGTAAAGAGAGGAGTAAAGAGAGGAGTAAAGAGAGGAGTAAAGAGAGGAGTAAAGAGAGGAGTAAAGAGAGGAGTAAAGAGAGGAGTAAAGAGAGGAACTGGAGAGAGAACCGAATCCTATCATTACTCAATCCTCTGTCACCGCATGTTCCTCTGTGTGCATGATGTCGGTCAAGACACAGGACGAAGGGGGCACTCACAAATATATAGACCTTTTCGTTTTTTTGTACAGTTAGAGCTTGATCACATCTTTGAATCAGAGAACCAATACAATCCGAAACTATCTTTTCCAGTTACCTGTTTCTGTTTGCTTTGCCATTGCCGTCATATGACAACAATCCCATTCAAATGGTTGAAGGCATATAGGCCCCGACGAGGACGGTTCGCTTTGCCTCTCCTTCGTCTACTCGTATAGACGACTTGCTTGATGCTTCGAGTAACTTCCTATGAGCTCTTAATTGGCCCAGTCTTGAAGTACTGTAGAAGTGTTGTATGCTAAGTGTCCTGTTTACTGGGTGATGCTGTCCTTCCGGACTTGGGAGCTTTAGCTCTGGTTGTAAAGCCACTTCAGGTTTGATGTTGCCACATAAGATAGTTGGCAACCTTGTTATGTTTGGGGCTTTTTGAGTGTGACTGCAGTCGGGCTTTTTCTTCTTCCTCTTCCTTTTCATTTTTTTTTTTTAATTTTTTTTTTTTTTTTTTTTTTTTTGGGGCGAGAGGAGTGCGAGTACATTGATGTCTGGTGGATATCAGGATGTCGTTGCCTCGTGTTGTATCAATGTCAACTGTGAACATGCGATGTAAGCATATCTCATGGTAATATCTACGCTATGGGTATTTGGATGTCCTCTGCAAGATCATCAGCCTATTCATTGCTGGCAGAAGTCATACTCCGCTGATAACAATGAAACATGTTCGTTGTATACACTCCGGACCCTAATACGTGACGATTACAACAAACTCATAAAACTGTCTCGCTACCGAACGTGCAGCACAACGCGAAAGAGAAGCGCTCCTTTGGCAATTATTACCACCGCAAAGGTAAGAGTGGTGGCACACCTTTCAGCTACTGAGGCACAATTTCTAGATGCAGTGGCCACTGATGTTTGGGGATGCAAAACCCCAAAAAGAGGCCAAAACATGAAAAGAACCAATGCGATGTGCAAACAACGGAGGATGGCGAGCATACAAGAAGAAGCAGTCACAGATTGCGATGGGATATGGGATCCAATTATCCACTCCTGTTTGTCCCCCCTAACGTCCGTGAGATCATCCTATAGTCTGATGTAGAGGTCCAAGCAGTCGATCCGCCACTCCCTCCTCCCCAGCAAACTCCTCAACCACTCCAGTCCCAATCCCGTCCACTCCACCCTCGTCCTGGCCGCCTTGTCCATCGCGGCCGTCGCCAGCGTGCCGACCGTTGTGTTGAACATGTCGAGAGCCACCGCCGCCGTACTGTTGGGCCTTTCCGCCATGGCTGCGGTGCCGGTGCCGTTATTCGTAGGGGCGTAGAAATGTGTCGTAGTCGAGTTTGGTTCCTTCGGCTGGAACCAGTTGCTGCTGACGTCGAAGAAGCACCGGTCGGACCAGTTACACGACGTCAGGAAGAGGATGACGAGCAGAAAGGAGCAGTAGATGCATGGTCGGTTGAGGAAGTATGTGCAGATGAAGAAGACGAGAATGAAGGCGGGCGACGCGTTGGTCGGTATGAAGAGCAGTGGGAGCCAACTACAGTAGTAGGTTTAGAATCGTGGTTAGCTTTCTCTTTCCCAAGATTTCTCGGCCTATGAAGCTTTGCGCTTGGCTTGGGACAGCAGACTTTCACGAACCTCCGAAGACAGAACATTTTCTGCTTATTGGGTTGTTGCACAAAGGCAACTGGACGGGTGGTGTTACTGTCCGAATGTGGGGAAACGAATGAACGTGTCCTTCCTGGCTAGAATCACCCGAGAGACGGACGGCGCGACTGAGATCAAGGGGCGCCGCTCGGGTTGTTCGCCGTACTAGCGTATGTGGGATTGCTAAACCGCCTAGGATCTCGGAATCGAACTCGAGTTGAACGAACGTGTGCACACGGTGGTATGAGTCGAGGCCGAGATTGGAGATGCTATGTACATCAACGGATAAGGAGGATTATGTTCTTGAGCACACCCGAGCGAGTAATATGCGGTGTTGCACACTCTTCCCGAATTCAACGTGGCGTGCTGGTTCGTGGGACCTCAAGGAGGTGCCGAGTTTGCTTGTTCCTCGTCAACGAGTGGAAAAGTTGGCGATTCCGTCCCCGTCTAAAATCCGATTTCCCAGGCGCAAAGCAAGCAAGAGGCTCGGGGGACTGGCGGATAAAGAACGCGGAAGCTCTATTAACAACGTAGTTGCACGGCGACAGGCAAAGCGTTGAAGGGCGAAGATGCGAAAGAAGGAGAATGTCCAATAATTTTTTTTTTTTTTTTTTTTTTTTTTTTTTGGTTTAGTTTTCAGGGTCCTTCGAGTGTCAAAGGAGCCTTGACGCGGCGGACGGGACAATCTGCTGGACTTGCAACTACGGTCACTTGCGCAATTGCTCAGGTCGGAAAGCGGGAATGACGCTGGGGGCCGGGGATCGTTCGGTGGGGCGTTGCAAATCCCACGACGCCAGGGTCCGGGTCGGGCTTGAGATCCCTTCTTGCTTACATAAGCCACGTGGTTGAGTGTCGATTGACTGTTCCATCTTGGCTGCCTTCATCGCGAAGCAATTGAGCTTGAATTGAGCTTGAGAAGATTAGAGTAGAGATAACTCATGTGCTCCGACATGTTGTTCCGTCTCATATACGCCTCCATACCCAGCACGTGAAAATATCCTGAGCAGTGGGATAGGCATTGCCAGCCACATCCGGTTAGGTAGCATCGACAATGAGCCAAAGGTTCAAGCCACTCATTCATTGTCACTTCAGGGCATGTCATATGCCAGCGTGCCATGAGACGCTAGGTACCGTTCAACCGGTGTGATCCATCTAGTAGTCAGTCAGCCCTGTTCTGTTGTCGTTGACTGCAGTCAGAGTTCGACTTTGATATCACCAACAACCTCATAGGCTGGCAAATGCGGCATTATCATGTCACACCCACGACAGATGCGAAGTGCAGAAGCAGAGACGGAATCTGCTTGGATGCCGTCGTGATGCACATGTCTTCCCCGCGCTAGGTGTTGAGGTGCATGTGCAGGTCAGAGTCGGAACATCCAATGCTCAACGTCGACTGCGACCACCGTCGATGTGAAGGCGGGCGTTGGCTACGTGGACATGTGTTGACGGCAGAGAGTGGCACGGACCACATTGGCCATGATTGGCTGAACACCATGCTCCCGGCAGGAGGCCCAATGGGATAGCAGCGAATCGTCGTCAACCTGTCCCAGCCTTGAGAAGCGTCGGACATCAGGCCTCGCAACTGTCCATGTCACTCCTGTCAAGGTCGGGTCTTGTGTATGTAGGTCTGACCCAGGTTGAAAGACGTGATCCTAGAAGGGCAAACGGAAGCAAACTGGCGGAAATCAAAAAGTCCCCAAAAGAAAAAATGGGTAGAAAAGTCAAGCAGCACTGCAGTAACCTAAGACTGGAGACTACTACTACCTATGGTAGATGGTGAATGCGTGTTCCAGTTCTGGCAAACGGACGGGTGCAAATCCAACCAATCTGAGGGCCTGAGGCTGGGCCAATCTCTGCAGCTTCCTCAGGTTCCGTCATTTTCGAGGCTCTGGGTCTTTTTTTCCAACTGCAGTGGCTGCAAGCTTCCATTTTTCTCTCCTCCTTCTCTCCCCCGCCAACCCGCCAAACGGAACCTACCAAACAAAAACGAACGGGCCCATCAATTCCCGACGGACCCTCTCGCCCTCTTCTCACCTCTCTCTCTCTCCCTCCTTTTCTTCCTCACCCAACATCGTCAACCTCTCGCGCGAATGCATCACACTGGCCATTGTCAGGTTCTTTGCGCGTGCGACTTTTGGCCTTTGCAGCAGACTGGCGCTGAGAAATCAAGCAGCTAATTTGATACGTGAGTGGACCCCCGCATCGCTGTATTTTTGCGCTCGCGCTCTCCTTTTGGCCGCCCCGCGGAAACACGCTGCAGATGGTGGCAGGTGTCGTGGGCTAACCCTGAGCCTCAGCTCTGAGCCGGAACCGAGCTTGGTGTAGCTTCTTCGGTCCCCCGTCACTTGTCTAACCCTCGCCTTTCACAAAACAGCGTCATTGATTCCAAAAGAGTCCCAGCTGGAGCCGAGGTCCCCTCCTCCCACCAACTTCGACCAACCCAGTCACAAACCCCTCCTTCGTCACGTTCGGTTTAGGTAATTCGACAACCCCAAAGCTAACAGAGCCTACCACAACCGACACTTGGTTACTGCCCGCACGAGCGCCGCCGCCCATCGCACAACCCCAGCCGCCGCTCACGGTGCCCTCCCCCCTGCGTCGCCGTCACTGTCCGTCATCAGTGACATCGCTTCAACGCCTTTGACGTCTCGAGCCTTCTATTTCTCTGCCACTGCCACTGCCGGAAGGCGGCTTGCGGTAGAAAATCGAAACACCACCTTTGCGTGTTTGTTGTTGTCTGGATGCCAACTTGTGTCGATAGCCAGAAACGGCCGTTCCTCATGATGCCCAACAACTTCAGCATGCCCGGTGGCAATGCTTCGGGCGATGGCGAATCCGACCGCGCTGCCGCGTCTCAGTTGCTTTTGGCTCAGCTTCGTCGCCAACAGTCCTCCACCAGCCCTAATCCGGCTGCTGGACCTAATGGCTCGAACCAGTATGGTCAACTTGCATACCACGGACACCACGGCCACGGTCACGTCCACAACATCCCCCAGGGCGGCCAGCCCTATTATGGGCCCGACTCCCCCGGTTTGAACGCTAGCTTCCAGAACCCCTTGGACTCCGCCGCGTTCCTTCCTGAAGCTCCGACGCCACCTATTCACGCATTCAATCACTCTCAGTTCCCATATGGACTGATGCAGCCTATTGGTGCCGGCCGCGGCGTCCCTCCTGCAGGTGCGGGCGAGAATCGGACCGCTCAATTGTTGAATCTTCTCAAGTTAGGACAAGGCTCTTCCTCCAACCAAAACCAGCCGCAGTTTTCCCAGGAAGCCCAGCCAAGCTACAACACTCCGCCTCCTATGATTCACGCGCCCGCCCCGAGTGGTTCTGATCCTAGTGGGTTTCTTGCTGCTTTGATGCGTGGGGCGCACCCTGAACAGCCCAAGCCCGAAGCTGCGCCTGCTTCTTCTTCGTCTTGGAACCAGCCCGCTCCTCCCTCCAACACTCAGCAATATCTGCTGAATCTACTGAGCAAGCCAAAGCCAAGCCAGAATGATACGAGCGAGATTGTCGAATCCAGTTTTCTCACACCTCCCCCGGCTGAGGATGATTCAAAGGAAGCCCGCAAGCCTGCTGATATGACCCTCCCCGAAACCGTGCCGTCGCGATCCCAGTTTGATTTCGAGCCTCAAGGTCTGGAATCTACGCCCCCCAAGTTCAGCTCGACTCCACAGTCGCAGCATTCGCAACCTGCGTCCGCCGCTCGGTCGGGAATATTTTCTAGTCAGCATGACGATCAGTTGGCCAGCTCCCCCAGCCAGAGGACTCCCAAGTCGTCTGCTGGTTCTGCCATGGATCCCAATGTCAGTCGCCCCCCGGCAGCATCTGCTATGCAAATTCTGCGGAAGCCTGATCCGAATGATCCCAAGCGGCCTTTAAGCGACCATAGCTCCACAGGCAGCCCCGACCATACGAGACGGAAGCTGGAACATGTATCGTCTCCTCATGGGTTTACTACGGGTGCGCCTCGAGTCGCTCCCAATATCATCACCGTTTCCCCAGGCTCGGAGGCCAAGGTTGAACTTGGTCAAGACCATGTGGAAGGTGAAAGGAAGAAGGAGAGTGTTGCTGAAGCCGTTGTCGGGCTTGCTGAGCAGGCTGACAGAGAGGCCCAAGAGGCGCTGGCCCGTGCTGAGGGACAGAGCGCTCAGGCTGAAATTACCCAAGACCTCGAGCAGATGATGAGTGCCGAGACCGACGATGAATTTGCCAGATCTGCCCAGGTTGCCGCTCAGGCCATCCAGAAACAGCTTGAGAAAGACGAGAACAAGGATGTCCTCGAGTCTGCTCTCGATGCCGAAGTGGCAAAGGAAGTAAGAAGCATTGTGGATAAGGCAGCTCAAGCCGGTCAGGGCCCGGTTGCGGATAGTTGGGAAAGTGCCGAAGCCGATGAAATTGTCGCGATTGAGGAGACAGCGGCACCTATCAAGGTGTACAATTTCCCCTTGAAACCCTGGATCACTATTAGTGTCCAGGAGACGGATGAAGTTCGCCCTGTTTTCCGCGAAGAAGCGATTCTGGACATTGCTAGGCTCAAGAAGGACTTCGACCAAATCGATCGGAACCTTGTCTCGGCATCAGAGAGTTACATGGCCTATGGAATGTCCAAGGCTGGTGGCCTCCGGGTGATTCGTCAGGAGGACGGTAAGGACGCTAAGCTCTTCACGGACACTAAGGATAGAATCTTTAATGTCGCCATCTCGTCGTCTGCCTCGAACCAGCACCCCAAGGAGGCCATCATTGGCACAGGCGTGAGCGGCACGGTTTACTGGGTCCAGCTCAAGAACGGTGACCGGGATCATCTGGAGGACGCTCATCCGGAGCAATACGGTTTTGCTCTGCCCCCTCTGTCGTCACAAGAGGGCGGCGATGCCCCCGGCGGAGTTTTGAAGACGAGAGCTCGTCCTTCTTCTATGCATCCCGATTATTTTGCCGTTGGCCGCGGAAAATCCATCAATATCATTTGGCCCTCATTCATTTTCGAGAACAATCTTTTCAAGAACGCCCATGATCGCGTTGTCGACACTGAGAGACTCTTTCAGCAATGTTCCCTCAAGATCAACACTGGCAAGGCCGGGAAGGATTTTACTTTCAGTCAGGATGACACACTGATGGTCACGTTGGACAAGTCGGGCCGAGTCAAGTTCTGGGATGTCCGCGACTTGACCGCTGTTAGGGAAGGCTCCGATCCCCTGAACCCAATGCCTGCCCATACCTCTTTGGAAATCAAGGATCCTTTGATGACCTTGACCACTACCCCAGAAGGCGAGAAGGCCTGGCCTACGTCCGTCCTGTTGTTGGATAAGTACCGCCCGTATCAGAAGCGCGCCGCGTTGCGGTATATGATTGTGGGCATGAAGCAAAACCACACCCTTCAGCTGTGGGATCTTGCCCTGGGCAAGGCTGTGCAAGAGTTCAACTTCCCCCACAACAAGGAGTCCGACGCCGTCTGCAGCGTCATGTATCATGCTCGCTCAAGTATGATTGTTGTCGGTCACCCTACACGCAACTCGATCTATTTCCTTCATCTCTCCGCCCCGAAGTATGGTCTTAAGAACCTCTCACAGGTGGACTACATTCAGAGACTTGTTGCACAGGACCCTTCGATTCCGCAGCCCGAAGCTACTGCCGTTATTAGTGGTATCCGGGAGTATTCTTTTGCCAACAAAGGTGTGCTGCGGAGCCTCGGAATTCTTGGAAACCCCGCAGGTTCTACTGATGGCGATGAAGCGAACCTCTTCGAGCTTTATGCTATGCACTCCAAAGGTGTCACCTGCGTCTTTATCAAGAACGGTGAGCTTGGCTGGTCTAAAGACAACAAGGTCATTTGCCCAGCCGATGCTGAAAAGGTTGGCTTGGTCAAGATTTCCAAGCTGGTTGCTCCTGTGCAGCCAGTAGAGGTTCAACAGGCCCTGACTCCGGCCGAGACAAGCGCGCCGCCCCAGATTCGCATTGCTACGCGCCCTAATAAGGAGATTCTGCAGAAGACGCCGTCATCTCAGGGTGATGACAAGAAGGGAATTGATTCTGTCTCGACTGTCAAGCCTGATCGCAAGGAAGATATCGAAACTCCCGTTCAAAACAACAATCAGCCGGAGCGGGCAGAGAAGAAGGGCCGCAAGAAGAAGGCTGCGGCTGCTGCGGCTGCCGCCGCCGCCGCCGGCGGCGATTCTGCTGTCAATGGCCAGGCAGAGCAACAAGCCATCCCGACAATTGGCCGCACTTCATCTCAAGTGAAGGCCAGATCTGCTAGAAATGCTGACTCTTCTGCTCTCAACCTCCCCAGTCAATTTTCCGACCTCTCCTTGAACGGTTCTGGTATCTCTCAGGAACAACTCAACACAGTCATTGCCGATTTGGAGTCGCGCATCTCAAATAACATGAACAGCATGCCAGGACGTATGTCCGGTGTTTTTGAGTCATCCTGCAACGATATGTTTAAGCGGCAGCGCGAGCAGCTGCATGGTTGGTTGCAAGATTGGATGCGCAATTTCATGGACAGTCGTGATGACCTTTTCCTCAAGAATCAGTCAGCAGTTCTTCAAGTCGTTTCGGACGTTCTTAATGACAACACCGAAACTGTCTTGAAGTCTCTTGTTGTCGATCAGGTTAACAATGCCATTATTCCCGCTATCCGTTCCACCGTCGAAAAGGTAGCGAAGGACCAGGTCGACTCTAGCCTGAATAAGCAACTGCCCGCGATGCAGAAGGAGATCGAGAAGAGACTCCCCTCTCTGCTTACACAGTCGCTCCAAAAGGCTGACATCACGCCAAGCTTGGTGGACAAGCTCGCGGATCAGGTTCTCCAAAAGGTGGCCACCCGGTTGGACGTTAATATCGCTAACCAGTTGACGAAGTCGTTCAGCGAGCAGCTGCCTGTGTTGTCAAAGCGTGTAGCTGAAGACGTTCACCAACGTATTGCAGGAGATATCAGCACACGGATGGGCGAGTCCATTGCGCGGTTTGAGGAGCGGAAACGAGACGATGACGCGAAGCTCGATCGCCTCATTGCTCAGAACACAGAGCTATCCACGGCACTTGCCGCTCTGGCAGCGTCTCAGGTTCAAATGCAAAAGGAGTTCGGCGCCCTGAAGCAACAGCTTCATGAGCAGAACCGTGATCGCGACTTTAGCGTTCCGGAGCCTACGCACAGTCACACGCATTCTCGTGCCAGTGGTAGCGTTAGCTCGCACCAGCAGGCTGGCGGACCCTCCCGCGATTTGGTCACTTATGCGCCGTCCCAGGCTCACCAGCACCAACACACCCCGTCCATTCATAGCATGGCTCAACACCAGCAGCAGCAATTCGTTAATCAGGAGCAACAGGCGCTTTTCTCTCCTACTCCCCGCGAGAATCGCGAGAAGATGGAGCTCAACAACACGCTGGAAACCATCGATCGTTTGATGAGCGCAGGCCAGTACGACCAGGCAGTTATGCGCTGGCTGCAAGCGGAGGATAAGAGCGAAGAGGTCTTCCAGCAGGTCATTTCCAAGTATGACCCCCGTTGTCTCTCCGGTCTAGCGCCCATTTTCCTTCTTTCTGTGGGAGCCAGCATCGTCAGCAATCTTTCCCGAAGAAGCCCTAAAATCCAAACCAAGATTGCTATGGTTGAAACGATCGTATACGCCATGGCACAAGCCCTTCCCCACTTGGTAAGTGTTTATACAGCCCAGTGAACTGTGCTGCTGCCTTTATTTTTGATTGCTAATATTCCGTCTCTTGTAGGAAGATCAAGTTGTCGAGGCCGTCCCGAAGGTCATGTCTCTGATCCAGGCGAAGATGGAGGAGCTTTTGCTTGCTATTAGCCGCGAGAGCCCTCACGATGCCTCTCTGAAGACCTTGTCCAACATTGCTCATCTTGCTGGACGTGTCGGCGAGAGTTGCCAGCCTTCGCGCCAGTCTCTGGGCCATCCCGGTGCACCTTACTAAACACACTCGCTGGTAGAATTTGCTTTGAGGAGGGGATGGTAGACGGTTCAAGGAGGCTTTTCCCTTTGCTATCTTGATACCCAGCTTCTTATTCTTCTCTCGGTCACGGTTTTACGGATGGGTTTGGGGCAATATGTGAGTTGCCATATTCGTCCAAGGAGATAGACTGGGTGGATTTATGATTCAGCGAGCATGAAGGTAGTTTGCTAGTCATTGTTTATTTGCGCTCTCAACCTGTTATTAATTCCTGTACTATGGTATCTGGGCAGATGAAAGCGAAAAGTTATGGTCGAACTGGTCGAAGAGGTGGCTTTTGTAACGTTGTATGAGCGGTCACGATTATGTGGGTTACGTGAGCTTGTTTGGTGGTTCTGGGCATTATCAGAATTGCATGTCGTCGAAGTAGCTTGCACGTTATATCTTATTGTTGAGTAGATGCAAGATAAGTCAGAAGAAGGACACGAATTCAAGATGGAGTTTTGACAGCGCGATATCATGCTATGATGTGGTGATGGTCTAGGGTGCTCGAGCAATGCTGCGGTGGTGATGCTGTGGAAACCTGGATTGTAGTATGCCTTGCCCCTTATAGGTTTCAAGTTCCACACAAATAGTCACATACGACCATAGATGGTAGAAAACTCGGGATCCCGTCCGCTCTCCCATAGATAAGCTACCAATCGCCTGACTAGTAGTTGGGTCGGTGACGACCAGCGAATCCCAGGTGTTGTATGTTATTTTTTTTTTTTTTTTTTTTAACTTTTGGGTGTGAGTCTTCCTTGGCTTTTGTTTCGATCGATTTTTCTTCGGTTCTTATCTTCTGTTGTTTCCTTTCTCTGTAAAATGTGGGTTGAGAAAACAAGTTTGCACAGGATCTAGAAAACTGTTACGGGGCCGACATCATCAAGCAAAGCTGACAGCTAATGTGCCATATCGACGATTCCACAGTCAGCATGGGCGTGTTGCTGGAAATTTGAGATTTGAAATATAATGCCGATAGACGTTGTCGGTTAATCAATGAGGCTCCGCGCGGCTCCTCTGACGTTTCAGACTTCACTCAGTCACGATGTGGTTAAGAAAAAGGGGTGGTCTGCATGGATCGTCAACGTCATGTCGAGACTTCCCACTCTCGAAACACGTACGATTACACACACACATATAATCAACCCACCTGCTAGACTTATACTTGACCATATCCAGGTAGTAGGAATTGCTATGTCGTAATAGCGGATTGCTACCATCTCTCCTCTTCAGCTTCTCTGCCATACGTGGGTGTATGTACGTTAATGGCACTCCAGGTCCAGGTCAAACATACTCCCTTCTCGTCCACCATTTGCACATCGCCTATCTCCTCATAGAATTATCTCAACACCCCAGATGGCAACCAAACCCAACATCTACATTATTCCCGGCGTCTGGCGGCTTCCCACCACCGGGTCTACCCTTCGTCACCACAGCCAAAGAGGCAGGCTACTCGGTCATGTTCAGCCAGTTACCTAGAGGTACCGTGGACGGAACCGAAGTGCCCTTCGCCGCTATTCCAGAACGACGCGGCCGTGGTGCAAAATAATCTTCAAAAGCTGGTCAACGAGACATAGGGAGCGAACCTAATTCTTGTCGGTCACTCTTCAGGCGGTCGTGGTACCACCGGTGCCGCTGAGGGCTTAGACGCCACCAGTCGCAGGAGGCAGGGTAAGAAGGATGGTGTGAGTGGTCTTTTGGCGGCGTTTGCGATGAGAAGGGGGGGGATGATGTCTGATATTTTGGGGGAGGAGAAAAGGGATAAAAAAAAAAAGTGATCAGATACCTCTATGATTTCCCACTACCATGTCTTGCAGAGAATGATGACTTTCATGCGACTTTGTTTAGTAGGTTGACCGCGCCTGCCTCTATCAGGAACCAGCCATGGACGTCCTTACTGATCTGCCGGAGGAGGAACAGCAACACTGGGGTATACAAATCACACATACTTTTTTTTGTTGGCTTGTTCAACACGCCCGCTACTTCGAGCGTTGAAGCGATGGGATCCCTTGCTCGTATATCTACTGTGAGAGGAACAACGGGCCAGCTGCGAAAAAGGTTCATCTTGGTTGTGGCCACTTTCTGTATTTGAGCATGCTGAAGGAGGTACTCACGGTGGTGAAGGAGCTTCTTGCGTGATGGAAGCGCGAAATGGCTGGGTGGACACTCCGCATAAGTCGCCGCCTGGGTTGTTACAATGATCTGCTTTGCAGCGATACTGATCAAGGGATGGACAGGCAATATCTATTACAAAGAACAACGGTCCTTTCTTCCATTGTCTGGGTTGACAAAGCGGGGAAGATCCCGTTGACAAGATCTTTGCCAGGGGTCAGGAGAACAAGGGCGTTGATTAATGGGACAAAGACACGGAGTCAAGCCAAGAACGACCACCAACTTTAAAGCTAAGAATAAAATAACCAGATGACAAAGGTCTGTTTGTTCGTTGGTGTTGATGTTGCTCCAAGGCCAAATGAATCATGAGGCAATGCCCATCAGCCGGCCTTATATCCTCATGCGACCGTATCGATTTTGCTTCTGTTCTGCTGCCAAATGAACAACACCCTTGCTCACGAGCAGCAAACCTCGTCACCAATTGTTCTGTTACTCAATTCAAGCAGCAGAGATCTTGACATAGTAGATCGAGCTCCGAAAAGCAGAGAGAGCAAAAGACGAACTCCTCGCCGTCGAGATCAAGATGGCCACCATCCGCCGCAAAGCCTCGTTCTCCCATCACGAGAAGGTGGGCGATACCATCCACGTTTGCCTCTCCGACACCATTCACGTTCACGCGCCCAAACCTACATGTAAGCGCCGACGCACAAAGAAACTGCCTTCGCTGAGGTCAAAGCCCCCAGTGTCAATCACCTATCCTCCACTGGACCCCAACACCGGCGCGCCTGTTCCTGATCCGCTTCTTGACGATGTTTACCGCCGTCAAACCCTATCTGAGCTTGAGGAGGACCTTTCCAAAGCTAATGCCGCAAGCACCACGGAGGATGGCGGTTACTCCATTCCCACCCACGGCCAACGTACCCAGCGCTTGCTTCATTCTCTTCTCCAGAATGCATCGCACCCGAAGACCAATTATACACCCTCTAGCAACACAGACACCAACTCCGATCCCATTGAAGCGCTCTATCTCAACCAAGCCCAAGCCACAGCCCTAATCGAATCTTCTCACTACGATCCCAACGTACTTTTGATCGTCCAAGATAAGCGATACTTCGAACCCACTCCCACCGTCTCCCTCCCATTTACCAGCTCTCAAACCCAACCAAAACCGGAGGCCACAGCCGGGAGCAACACAGACCGACTCCAATACCGGCCCATCACCCTCTTCTTTGACCATCTTCTCCCTACTCTCCACCGCCAAGTCTCCGTCCAGATCCCCAGTCAACCGGTGACGGAGCCTTCGGGACAGCTGAGGACTTTGAGATCGGTTCGCGCACGGTTTCACTCGGAGGACATGGATGCACACGAGGTACATGAAAAGATGAATCAAAAGGATGATCCATGGAATGTCTTGGATCTGTCGACGCCTATACCATCTACCACCCCTTCGTTTTTGCAAGGGCCGGGGAGTCAAATGTTGAGATATATCCGTTCGGAGGTGCTGATGACTGCTGGGTCTTTTGGTTTTATTTCTCCTCCAGCGTCTCCTAGGGTAGTTAAGTCGGGGTTGGTGACGCCGCCTGGGGATGCGAGGAAGTATACGCCTGTCCTTGAGGGGGGAAGCACTCCTGAGCTTGAGTCCACTGCTACTCCTGAACCCAACTCGAACACTCTGCTTTTTCCTAACCTTACCGTCAACAACCGTAACTTTACCCCCGATCCCACTTTCATTTCCACTCCCCCTCTCAACTCAATACCCTCACCAGCTCCCGCACCAAACACACCACCAAACACAACCCCTTCCAAAAAGCGCGGCCGCCCTCCCAACTCCAAATCCCACTCCAAATCCCCATCCCCCAAGAAACAACGAATAACCGCCACGACGCCAGAAAAAAGAGCCGAACGCCTGCGCGCCTCCCCCTCTTCCTGGAGCGAGTGGACAAACGTGCAATCCTGGTCCCTTCTCTCCCAAGGTGGCCACCACACCCCTCCGCACTGTGACGCCTTTGGTTTCGACACGTGGATTACCGTCCAGGAGGGCATGGTTGGGTTTGGGTGGTTATCTACCGCGTCCTCTACCCCCGAATCCAAAGCAGAGGTTTTTGGTGAGAGGGAAAAGTGGGCAGCAGATCCGCACCAATATGCTGAAGGTCCAAGATGGAGATTTGTCATCCTCAAGCCGAAGCAGACTGTGTTCTTTCCTAGCGGGACGGTGCACTTTGTTTTTCGGCTCAAGAGTCAGGATAGTTTGAGTGTGGGTGGTCATGTGTTGCGGTGGAATGGGGTGGAGAGGTGGTTGGAAGTTGTGCTTGAGCAGATGGGGAATGGGGAGATTACGAATGAGGATATGGGGTGGGGGGCGGTGAGGAGGTATGTGGATGTTGTTGGGAGGTTAGTTGCTAGGAGGGAGAAGGAAGGAGGGGAGAAGAAGGTGGGGGAGGAGTGGGAGGTTTTGGTGAAGGTATGCTTGTCACTTGTCGACGTGTAAGGGATGAGTTGCTAACGATTGATCACAGACGTTCAAGGACTTATCGAAACGACGAAAATGCCAATAGAAGAAGTGAATTACAAGTATAAAGAGAAGACTACAGAGAAAGCATGTTGGCTCGCTTGCTTGATGGATGCGATGCGATACGACGGGATGTAGACAGAAGGGAAACCTTATACAAGGTATTAGACAGAAATTAAAAGAAAAACAGAATGAGCAGAAATGGTATCCAGAGAGCCGCCCGTGTATCTTTCTCCCTAGTCATAACTCCGTGACTTTTTCGAAGCAAAACAAAACTCTTTTGACCTCCCACATTACGCAGTGCCGTTCCGAGCTCCCTGCTGCTTCTCTTGGTCCTGAACCTGAGCTGCTGAAACGGTAGGGTTGAACCGACCTGCTGTCTCCTTCCTGTCCGTACGAGAGCTTTCTGAGCTGCTGCTAGCCTTGCTAGTGCCATGATCCATGTTCTTTCTGACTCCATGATCTTCACTCTTTCTGACTCCACGATCTTCACTCTTTCTGAACTTGTTCGTCAACGTCAAAGCCGGTTGCATGATACCGGTAGGTTCCCCAGCCTCTTGCTTGGCCTTCTTCTCCCGCTCCTTCTCCATTTTGTGCATCACTTCAGCCGTGAGCTCCTGCTTCAGTAGTCTCTCCAAGACATCCTTCTTGCGAGTACGCCTATCGCCGATGGCAATGAGCAAACCGGCAGTACTGTTGGCAGCAATGGAGCAGCAAAGGACAGCGGTGGTCACTGCACTTTTTCTAGTGCGGTAGTCGGTAGACCAGGTATAAGAACCGAGAGTGATCTGGAGACAACTGTGCAAGTCCAACAAGCAAACAATGGCAATGAGCAAGCCGATAGGAAAGGCGTGGTGGGTTCCCGTTTCGTGAGGCTTGTAAAAGGTGTGCGACTTGGCCAGCTTCTTTTGATGGTGGATGAATCTAGCTTGTGATTTCTCGGAGAGAACGGGGATGAAGGTATCGTCATGCCGGACCTCTGTCATGTGAGGGTCTACGGGGGCGCGCTCAACATCTGCTTGTTCGAGGGCGGCCTGGGTTTGCAGAGGCACGTCATTGGGATCCTTCAAAGGAACCAACAACCTGTTGCGAAGCTTGATCGTCTTGAGGTCTGGACCAAAGTTAGCATTAGGCAATACCTCGACTACACAGCAAACACTTACGATAGCGAGCCACAAAGATCATGTGGTATGTGTCGACCGCCCGGAAGGGGGCAAGGCCATCACCGACAATAGCGAATAAAGCGACAAGGACATTGTCAATGACATTGATGACGTACAGCTGTTTGTCGCCGACGTAGATCCAACCGATCAGGAAGAGAACCCAAGCAAGACCAAACAGAGTGATCAAAACAGCATAGAGGGTGACAAGAAAGCCCAGAGGCCGCCTGCAGTACTTTCCGAATGCCTTCATGCGCTGCTTGAACTTGGAACGCTTTGAGTGGAGCATATGCCGGACATAGTCGTTGAGCATCCGGATGTCTTCTTCGCGCCATCCCTCCAGAGTAGCGTCCTTGGGCAGGATGGCATACTGAGGAGCAGTCAAAACGGTCGAGAAACTGTGAACATGAGGTGGACTTGGGCGCTGATGCGCGCTTTCATCTTCTGTCTCGCCCTCGCCTGCAGTCGTGGCCGTTCTGGTCGTTCGGATAGTATGAACATCCTCTTGGGAAGGGGGCGAGGTGCCGGGCAGGTTGGGTGGTAGAACTGGTAGCTGGGAGAGATCATATGTCGGTCTTCGGTTGACGAATCTACCCAGGGAAGGAACGAAGAGGGAGTTTTGAACATTGGTGATGGACGACAAGGCGGCAACTTCTGGGTCTGTAGTATAGTAGTGTAGTTAGCATGGTGAAGAGTGAGAAGTAAGGGAAGGGTTAGCTACTAACCAATAACATCCAGAAAGTCTACAATGCGCGAGTCGTACGTGTCATGTTCTGCCTGTGGCTGAGCATCCTCAGGGCTGGCCTGGTTCTCTGCACGGCGACGACGTGGCATCAGGTTTCGAAAGGTACCCTGGTGGCGCAGACCTGGGTGCTCTGGCTCGACTTTGATAGATGGCTGGGCCAGAACACTTTCATTGATGGGGGAGAGATGAGCAGCTGGGGGCTGTGGCACCTCTCCGCCCTCATGTTCAGGGACTAGAGGTGTCGATTTGTGCATGATAGGCTGATCATCAGCCCAGTGTCTGGCGCTGAGTGGCCGCTGGGGGTCAGAGCTGGAACGACGTCGACCTGTTGCCGCCAAAGGTGCCGGGGCATCTCGGGATTGAGATGCGAATTGTGGGTGAGAAGGGCGTCTCTGACCCGAGATGACTGACGGCCCTAGCCTCGAGCTGCTCTCGGATGAAGTGCGTAGTCTTCGGAGACGGATAGCGGATTCTTGACGAGTGGGCTGGAATGGAATGTTTTGACCTTGACTCTGTCGGGTGGGAGGAGGGGGAGCTGGGCGGTGGGACACAAGATCGGGCTGTTGTGATGGTCGACGAGGCTGAACTTGTGGTTCTTGTGGTGCTGGTTGGGGATGAAGTGCAGGCGGCCGCTCGCTGATGGGACTAAGAGCAGCTGCTGGTGGTGGTGGTGGAATGTCTGCTGCTACCTCTGTAGGGCGTGCAAGAGGCTGCGGTGACTCTGCTGCTTCGAGCAACGAGGGGAGTCGAGTCGATGCTGTGCTCGTCCGTCGAACATCTTCCTCGGTGAAGTATTCGCCTTGGCTGACATGATGCCCCTGATTATCCTTCCCCGACCCATTTCCTCCATTTCCTCCGTTCGGTGGTTGCTGCATTGCCCCCGATGGCACCTGCTACCCCAGTGTCGTAACGATGGGCCGTCTTTGTCCAAATGAGGAGAGCGAAAGTTGGAGAAGGCTGGAGAAAGTGGAAGGAGGAAATTGGAGAAACTGTGATTGATTGTTCGATTGATTGTTTGTTTGTTTGTTCCTTCCTTCGAACCTCACTCGCTGACTGAGTAAGGGCCTCGCTTAACAGAGAAAGAAAGCAGGAGCGTGAGACACGAAGCAGACACACAGACAACTGAACTTAACGCAAAACGACACAGACACGCGGAACAGAAACACTCAAGTGAATGCATATCATTTAGCACAAGGTCTAGAATTCCGTCACCACATGGCCAGCCTCATGGATTGGGGTCCATTAATGCCAAGGTCACAGATAAGGTGCAAACCGGAAAGACTTGGTTTTTGGTCGGGACAGGGAATCAATCACACCATTGGCCCTGATCCTCTCGTCCCCAATCAGGTCCCAATTTCCCTGTCTTTGACCAAGTGTGCCTGTGACGTCATGCTTTCTCCAGCCAATCACAGCATACATGGCGAGACTGTTTCAGATGAACGGGCATCCACCACGGTAGTATCGATAACCGACAAGTACCTAGATCTACGCTACGTAGGTGAACACTACTGAATACATTACACTATGTATTGTACGTACCAGTCACCACTACCCAAGTACATCCTACATGCCAATGTACATATCATCTTGCAGCCACGCAAATGGCTCTACCTCTGTCTATCTACGACTCTAAATTCGCCAAACTACCTACTACACTACATATATATCTATGACCGACTGGGACTAACCACACTGTACTACACTCAAAGCTCAATCTCGGGCTGCCTGCCCTTATACTCAACCTTCAAAGACGGATCCACCCCCATCGAGAAGCCAAACGTCCTGATCTTGGGATCAGACCCCTCCGGCAGTCTCCACTCGTAGTTCAGCAGCAGATGAACCAGCGCAATCTTGATCTCATTCGCCGCAAAGAACCGTCCGGGGCACGCGTGCTGTCCGTGTCCGAATCCCAAGTGCTCCGGCGCCGTGCTCACCAGCTGTGCCGCGTTCTCCTTGCCTGCTCCGGGCGTCTCGCGCATTCTCAAAAACCGTCTTCCGTCCCACTTGTCCGCCTGCTCGTATACTTCCGAGTTCCACATGTCGTGCGCCGACACGGCCACGAAGCCGCCCTTCGGGATGAAGGTGCCGTCTGACAAGGTCACGTCCTTCTCGGCGTAGCGACGCATCGACGCTACGCCAATGGGCTTGACACGTTGGGACTCCTTGATGACGCTGTCGAGCAGCTTCATGTTGTACAGCGACGTCTTCTTCCACCCGCCTTCGCTGAGCACCCGGATCATCTCCTCGCGCAGGGGGCCAATGAATTCGGGGTTTTGCATCAGGTTGGTCATGACCTGGCACGTCAAGTCGGACGTGGTGTGGATGGCCACCAGGGACAGCACCAGCTGCGCAACTGCTGGGTCGTAGTACTCGCCCTTGGCCGTCCGCTCAAACCACTCAATCGCGTCGTCGTGCTGAGCTTTGCCGCCGTTGGCTGCCTTTTCTTGACGTCTCTTCTTGAGGACCGGGTCGAGGATGCTGCGCGCTACGCGGACGTCGGCGCGGGCGCGCTGGCAGGACGGGAGGAACCAGTGGACGATGGGCCGGAGGGCGGCGGGCCAGAGACGAAGATCTTCGGCGGCGCCGAACCCGTCGATTGTGTACTGCTGGGTAACCTTGAGCCATTCCACGTTGCGGCAGAGTTCCTCGCCGAGGAAGACGCGGGAAGAGATGCGGGCGACGATGGGGAGAATCTTTGAGCGAAGGTTGATGGTGGACCACTCGCCGTTGGCTGCTTTGGGGAGGATGGCTTCCATCGCCATGGAAGTTTCCTGGGCGAGGGGCTCAGTGACCTTGTCTGTCATTGTTTGTCAGCTTCGTCACTTCGTCTCGGTCAACGCATTGTTTAACCTACTCAGGTACTTGGTAAGATCCCTCATGATAACCTCCTGGACAATGTGCGATTCCCGGCTAACCTCACCGAACCCTTCAAAGCCAGGGAGATGCCCATGGAAAGCCTAGTTCTTCCGGTAAGCCTCAGCCCTCACTTGATATCTCACCATGGATGGAAGGGGTAACAAACCTTATAAGTCCACCTCGTAAAGCTCAACCGATCGTCATTCTTGATCTCATTGGCCATTCGCGGCGGCAACACTATGGCCTCACCAAAGTCGCTGATGACACGGCAAGGCTTGTTGGGGTTGGCCTTGAACCAGTTCGCAAGCATCGGTCGAGAGCCATGCACAAACTCCTTCTTTGGTCTCGTGTCGCTAAACTCGAGGGGACCCTTTGGGTTGAGGTGCTTGATGTTCTTGGGGAATCTCGGTCCTTGGAGGGAGTACACGACGACGGCCAAGAGAAAAGCCGTGACAAGGTAGGAGAAGGGCGTCGCCGAGGGGTCGGTGATGGATATGATGTCGAGCCGCTCCATCCACGAGGGGATGGAGCTTGGTGTGGCCGAGGGGTTGGCCATGGTTGTTGTGTTGGTGTTCACTGGAGACTGTAGTGGTATTGTAATGCTCTTGATGAACTTGGAAAGGTATGAGTTGAGAGCAGGGTGTTCAAGATACAAGCAGTCGAAGACAGTCAAGATCTTTATACGTCCTGTCAGTACATCTGGGTAACATAAAACCGGAAGCTTGTTGTCCCCACCCCCAACGTTATCCATTTTCATAACTCATTTATGAAACGGCACAACATCCTTGCTTTGTCGACTATATGACTGTCTCTTGCATAAAGTCCAAAGCATTGTCGGGATACGAACCCAGACGGACGAGCCCCTTGCCGGTTACCGACACGTCAGTATGTAATGGAAATGGTGGGATTTGTCTAGGAGTTAGGGATACAAAGTAGGAACGTTCAGGCTAAAATAAAATTCTATGGATCGGAGGAAGCCGAAGTGACTTTCCGGAGCGGCTCTTTCTATTCCAATCATGGATGGAATGGTTTTGATGCGAAATTGTGATTCGGGCATGTATCGTCAACCTTGATTGATCTCGCTTGCGGTGTGCCCTGTACAAGAACACCAACCAACTCTACCCCTGTTTGTGACTCGTTATTCACAATCCTTTTAGCAGGCAAAGTACATACCTACTCTGTACTAAACATCACTTCTTTTCATGTTCTGCCGTCTGACGAAGGCTCCAAAGCCGAGTGACTCCCTTTGTCTCCCCTTCTCTTCTTCCAGCATCTTCCATGTCTGCCATAACAACCCGAGACACCTCCCTCTCGTCAAGCTACACCGTATGTATTGCTCACAACTCCACGCATACCGCCGATCCCAAAGGCCTCGAAGGCCAATTTACCCTGTCCTGGCCTGTCTTCCTCGTTGCCGTTGGCTGGCCTATTCAAGCGAAAGCAACGCTACCGATCCGCACCATGCCGGCACGGAGAGCTGCCGGGGACCCACATCTCCGGGTGCATAGACTGCATAAAAGTGCACAACCCATGAATAAGTGAGGGATAAGTGGTGAATAAGCTTAGTACAGATTGCATAACCCATAAAAGGGGGTCCCTATCCCTGAACGGACAATCACCTTCGTTGTGATTGGCGGTTCACCATCCAAGAAAGAAGTAGGAGACGGGAAAACAACTTGACAAGCCATCACAAGTTGCGGGACACGGTAACAGTGTCATCATATGGAAAACGCCAGCCAAAAAGGATACGAAAAAAAACATACAACACCTGGGATTCGCTGGTCGTCACCGACCCAACTACTAGTCAGGCGATTGGTAGCTTATCTATGGGAGAGCGGACGGGATCCCGAGTTTTCTACCATCTATGGTCGTATGTGCTTGATTTGCCTTGACTCCCTACCTATTAACCCAAGGATAGAATAGTTGAGTTTTGCCATAGATCAACTATCGAATATCAACGACCTCCAATTTGTACTTGTACCCTAACTAAGCAGGCTTCTCCCTCGTCCCCTTTGCCGACACCGCCTCGGTCTTATACACAAGCATTGAAGGCCGTAATCAGAGACTTCTTCCCAGTCCAAAGGACACAGTAACTGCCGTTGCTGAAATCCTCCAGAATCCGTAGGCAGTTCCATTGAGGGCTGAGTTTAGTTAAGGGCTCAGTCGAATTGTTGTGAATGCGTCGGATAATAAAGGCTTCTCCATAGCTTAATGGTTCGTTGAGGACGAGGTATCTGATTGTGAGGGGAATAAGGCTATGGTATTTGTTGGAGGTGCGGTTGGTTCGGAAGCTACTGGCTTCCTCTTATCGACGCTGTCAATAAGGTCGTCGGGGTAGCCAGGTTTGGAATCGCATGCACTTCAAGGTTAGGTGGGTACCTTACTCACTGTAGGATTCATCGCTATATAGCTTTTTTTTTTTTTTAGTATGGATGGATTAGATGTTGAACCCTCACCACCGATCTTCTGGAAGATCTGATGATTCCTACGCTACTCGTTAGGATTAGAACCGTTTCCCTCCCCCTTGGCGCAACTAGGGGTCAGGCAGTCCTAACGGGTATGTACATGCGTATAGTGCATCTAAAAGTCATGCATGCATTTCCGAGAAACCCATTTACATCTAGCAGACAGTTCTCACGTAGTGAGCAGAGACGGGATCACACAGGAAGTAACAATAACTAACTGTTTTATAAACCATACTTTGCAAAGTAATCATCACATACGACCATACCCACTGGAAAACTCGGGATCCCGTCCGCTCTCCCATAGATAAGCCAGTGAGGGCCAGACTAGTAGTTGGGTCGGTGACGACCAGCGAATCCCTGGTGTTGTATGTTTTTGTTCATGTTTTTTGTTCATGTTTTTTTCATGTTCTTTTTGAGGTTTTCTTTCGAGCACCTCTAGGTACACACCCGACTTTTTGGTCCTCCGGGATTATGATACTATTGCCAGGTACACTGATTCGCCCGGGGCAGAAAAGTTGAGGCCCGTGCTAGGCTCTTCCTAGTCAAAATAGTTGCGGCCTTTGACATTATACCTCGGGTATACTCCTACTACGTATCTGATCTTGGGTTCTAGGCAATTACTAGATAGAAAAATTCAAATAGGACTCTAGCCAATGTCTTTTCGAATCGTCGTAATCCCTATCACAGTTTTGCAACCGTCTCTCCTAACTACAACGAGCGGTATCGTATTGGAAAGGTCCCATCAATTTTGTCATGGACGAGACTGATTCGTGCGTGTGCCTTCTCATATGCCTCATATATTAATCGGACACTTCTCGAGTCCTAGCATAGGCAAAGGTAATGTGAATCCTCGCTGCATCAGATACAACCACCTCCCAAAGTAAGTACTGTGGAGTTTATGATAGTTGGTCGTCTCCTAAACTGGTATCATAGAAGGAGAGTGCGTAAATAGCGAGATAAACAAGATTTAGAGTTAAAGACAGAAAACAACGTGGGACGGGAGCATATCTGTGTTTTATAAATCCAACAATAAGTCCAGTGAATGAGGACATACTCGCAGTTTGGGCGAGGCAAGGGCCGACAAAGATGAAGCATCTCAATTTGATCAGTGATGAAATGCGTCAAATGAGAGCGGGAATACCAGTGAAGACATCAGCGTACACACCTTTCCAACACAATCACAATTCAAAGCAGTAGAGATTTCCCACATCTCCAGTCTATCTTGAAAGGCGATCGATAGCTGAGATACCATCAATTGCCGATTTTTGATAGACGATCTATAATCGCATCGCTGCACCTGTTCCGTGGAAAGGTCCTTGATGCACCTCCGTTGCCTCCAGCTCGCAAACAGGATGAGCATCAGATGTCTTCTCTGGTTCCGTAGACTGTCCAAAATGGGATTGAATATAGGGAAGATCGTGAGCGTGTACGTCAGGTTCCGAGTATCCGCTCTCTGCCAATGTCTTTCTTCGCCTGTCTCGTTTCAACCAAAAGACGAGGCAACCGACGGCTACCAATGTGAGAAGAGGTCCGGCCACGACGCCGGCTATCCAGGCTCTTGATGAAGCACGCCTTGCATTTGTCTCAGGGATGAGATTCCCGTCAATTGTTGTGCTTGATGTAGGCGTTGAATTGCTGGTGGTGGTAGATAGATTGTTTTCTGATTTGTTTGACGAGCTCACCACTATCCCTGTGTTTGATTCAGTTTCTGGTGAAATGTTCGACGAGCTCACTGGTCTAGGTTGGGTGACGATTGAGGTGTATATTCCCGATGATATCGTCACGGTGATATGTTGCGTTATCTCCACGGTTGTTTGATCTTGGCTATCACTCGAGAAGCGGTTGTAGTATGCTGAGGAGACGGAGGCTACCGCACTCGGGTCTACTTCTTGGTAGATTGTAGGAACTGCCTCGTACCATGAGGTACATACCCAGTCCATCCAGCTTGTGAGTGGTGAGGGAAACCTGTCAAAGATAGTAGTACCCCGGCAGTCTGGGTATTTGCCTCCACTGTAAGAAGAGAGGGTCAGCTTAGGCATCCGGTAACCTTTCATAAGTAAGCTTGCAAAGGGATTTAACACACCAAGTGCTATGTGGCTTTCCATTGAACAATAAAACTGAACCATCACACCCGACCGCAAAGTCGCATTGGGCTTTGGACGCACAGCAAGCGGCGTAACTGGAAGAGTACATAAATCTCTCCCCCGGTACACAGGACACAGGGACCGCTCAATGAGAGCAAGTTAGCACAGAGCGAAAGCCCAAATAAATATAAGGCGTAGGACGTACCGTCTCCATAGGAATAGATATAGGTGCCCTTCACGTCGCCTGTTGGGAGGGTGGTTTGAGCTTCCGGAGCTGCCGAGATAACCACAGGAATGCTGTCTTGAGCTGCTACCGAGCTAAATATGCCCAAGAGGCATACCCAGGCAAGTCGTATACCCAGTTGAAGGTCACAAATTCTGGCTCTGGAGGCCATGGTGCTCCGAATAGACCCTAAAAGTGTCAAAAGAACGTGTTACGAGGAAGACCTGGAAGAGATTGGGAGGTGGAGACAAATGTGTCGAGAATTGGGGAATGCAAGCTGCTTTCCAAGCCATGACATGATTTATAACACGAACGTTTACTATGGCGCACTATGGCGCAAGGCTTGATCCGGTTGTCCAGAAAGAGAAGGTGTTCGAGAAACAAGTTGGGCGAAAATGTGGCGACACGGCATGCTTGACTTCTTCACTAAACCCTGGCCGTTGATGATCAGGCATATCCTCAACAGCCTGAAGAATATTCGGTCACCCGTCGGAAAAGCACAGCCCGAAGGATTTCGCCTGTGGGTATGAGTCAGGTATTTGAACCACTCGTTAGCGGCTTAGAAAGGTGAGGACGGGAAGCCGCAGAGTTGTCGATGTGATAGAGGTACTTCCGCAGACCATGTCTAAAGCTCAGGTATCGTGCCCGGACTCGACAAGGGCCGGGTGCTGTCCACCTTTGGACTAGCACTTCATCTACAGATCTCAAGAAAATCGCAAAGTTATGCAAAAAAAGATAACGGGCAACATAGTAAAGGGGATGACAGTAATGTCTTATCATCGAAACAATTGCTGCCAGACAACCCACAAGATGGCTCGAAATAAGAAGCAGAGACAGAAGGAAAGGAAGGAAAGAAAATATTGCCCACACCAACCATGCCATGCACCTTCAACTAGGAGCTACCCCCTCCATCCACCCTTCATCTGATAAGTGATCTCACCATTGCCCCCCCAAACCCATAACCCCCGTCATCCCAGCCACACCCATGCCCATCCCCAACCCGAGTCCATAAGAACCGTGTTGGCCCTCCGACGCCGGCAAAGTACCATATGCCGAATCCGAAACCTCGTCACCACCATTGCCCATCATCCCCTCCAAACAAGCCTCGAGATCGACCTCGCCATTCTTAAAGAAGGGGAGGTCGAGACTGCTGGGATCGAAGGTTTCGACGAGGGAGTCGAGCCAGGATGGGCTTTGTTGGTTTTCTGGGAACGTGACCCCATCAATCTCGTCACCTTCTCCTTCCTCTTCATTTCTGTCTCCATGGTGACCGTCCACACCGGCACCAGCATTGGCGTCTTCGGGGCTGTTTCGGAATTGGCTCGGGCTAGGGCTGGGTGGGCTGCTAAGTGGCGTAATCACTTTCGCAGTGTTGTCGGTAGTGCTAGGACCGGCAGCACCAGTTGTTGTAGCAGGCCACACCCAGGTTCGGCTGAACTTGAATACCACGTCCTTGAACAGCTGATCGGCCTTTTGGTTCATTTGCGTCTGTACGGACGTCATCATCTTGTCGAGCTCCTGCCGGAAGATGGGCTCGACATAGCGGGGGAGTTCGCGACGCAGGAGGTCTTTGAAGGAGGAGATGTCGAAGTTTGAAGCGGTTGGTGGAGCTGTCAGGGTCTTGTTCTTCGTCGAAGAAGGGGATGTGTTAGATGAGGAGGAGGAAGGGGTGGGAGTGGAGGTGTCGTAATCTGTACATGGAAGATTGTCAGAACCCGACGAAGGAAGAAAGAAGGAATGAAGGAGAGAAAAGAGAGTACACGAAACGAGGATGGGAAGGAGAGGAAAAGGAAGACAAACAAGGAGAAGGGATCTTCGACCCCGCTGGCCCCGGAAAGATGATGCAGTACATATCATTCCACTTGTCTTCTTCTGACAACCCAGCCTTGGCTCTAGCGTGTAGCTTCTTGTCTTGTTCGTCGGTGATCACCTCGGGGACGTTGTCCTTTCGGAGCCGGCAGGGCGTTTCTGCCCTTTGATGGCTCTTGAGGTCATCGTCTGTCTTGAATTGATCGTAGCATCGGGGGCAGGTGTTCTTGAGTGAGTGGCGGCGGTAGATGTGTTCTCTGTAGGTTGAGGTTAGGTGTTAGTGTACTGTTTGAAAGGGAATAGATGAACGTGAGAAATGGGGGCGCACTTGACCCGATGAACACTATCCCATCCCGGTCCACAGCATGTCTTCACAGTCCTATATCTGGCCGGGTTGTGCTGACAAAACGGACAAGCGAACTTGCGGCCTTCTCCTCCTGGTGCTTCAGGGCCATGGTGTTTCGCCCGCTTGGTGGTCGCCTTCTTTATATTCCCCGTCACAGCGTGATAATGTTGCCATTGTGCATGCTGATCCTTGGATAGCTCATCCTCAGTTGCGGCAGCGCTATCCTGGTCCTGGTTGTATGGATGATTGCTTTCAACGGCCCCTCGAGGCCGCTTCAATGTCTTGGGAGAGGGCTGCTCGGGGAATTTATCAAGCCATTCGTCAAGCTTACGAGCGAACCTCGCCATAGATAGCTGAAGAATCAGTTTCTTTCGTCTGCTCAGGAGGCTGCTAGCGGTTTCAGTCGTCGTCGCTGTCGAGCTGTTGGCTGGAGTGTTGCCTAACTTGGAAATACACACGTCCTCCATCAAGGGCCGGAACAATCATAAAATCGATCCGTGTTGGGCTAGAGAGCGCCAAGCCAGAGACATCAGCGGTGATATCCTAGCGATGCAAATACTCGGACTTGGAAAGCTGGGTTGGTGGGTATGGTATATATGGATGGCTGCCCTGATAAGGCTGGAGAGGTATGTCGAGCAATGAAGGTAGACAAGAACTCAGTACCTAATGGAACGAAGGCCTGGAAAGGAGTAGATGTTGGAATATGGACGGACCAAAGGGTAATGTTGACTTCGAGTAACCAAATAATGATTAGCTGCCAGGTAGAGACGGAGGTTCGTGGGAATTGAATGAGAGAATTGTAAAATTGGGTTCGAAAAGAAATGTACGAGATGAAGTCCAATTGAAAGCTTGATAGCAGACCAGTCGGAAGGACAAGGTGAGCAAAACTTGACCAAAATCCCCAAACGTTAAATACCTGCTCGCAGTTTGCGCAAATGCGGAGAAGGAATTGGATAGAGTGGTGTAGATACAGCCCTCCATCAGCTGGTGTCATGATACACCACACCTCACCCACCACCCCTTCCAAGATCCCGAGGATCCCACAGCAAGAACCTCGAATTCTCCAATGAACTTCCTAGAAGCGGGACACAACTCGGCGAGGATGAGCAGTGGTGCAAGATCAGCGAAGCATTGCAACTGCAATTCTGCGACCTTGCAACCCAGATCAAGGTGCGGTGGCGGCGGCGGCGGGATACTCCGAAGGTAGGAGGGTAGTAAAGGTAGGTTCCGCATGACATGCCGAAAGAGGGTTAACACCAATGCCCGCTGAGGATTGTTGGCTTGGCCTGGTCTTCCGGCATGCAGCCGACATGTTGTGGTGACCTCGTGCATAAGGTAATTGCTCAATTGCGGAGAGTCCCTATATCCATGTTGGTAGAGGTAATCGAGACTCACATGCAGTAGACGAGGCTGTGGAAAAGGGGTATAACATCCAATTGGCCCTTTTTTCCACACCTTATCGCGGCATCAGGCCGGCCGACGAATCTCACAGTGAGTTGTCATCAATGATGTTGTTTCTCTGAGGCAGATGACGCGTTTAAAATTCCAACAAGAGCGGCTCAATTGCGACGAGAGGTGAAGAATCGGCGAGTGTTGTGTTGTGAACGTTAACAACGATGAGGGCCGGCTATACACGGTGATCAAAAAGGCCATGATTGGGATATAGGGGTACCCTTGCTGGCGTCGCCATGATCAATTCCGAATAACCAAGTGCCTCCCGGGTGAGCCTCCCGGGCTGAATTTGGCGATTTCAATCCTCACGTTGTGGAGGACAATGCCCAACCGCAAAGTCGAGGCCTCTCTCTCATCTTTTGCTGTCCCTGGCCTCCTGTCTAGGGCCTCTCAAATAGCCACTTTCGAGGAAGATAAAAGGTTAGAACTTTCCCCCGGAGCAGGATTTCGAGATGTTCTCCATTCAAAACCAAGATTTCCAAGAAGAACACAGTTGCTCCGCTCCGCCCTCAGAAATCCACATACAAAATGACACTGATCGAGGTTCCTGCTTCAAAGCCCTCAAAGGCCAAGTAAGTGGTACTAACCATTTCAAACTGTTCCAAGGGTCACACTGACATATGGGCTGTAGTAAATCATCAGAAAGCTCATATCGCCTCAAGACATATCTCCAAAGTGACCCCACCGTCACCGAGAGGTTGATGAACAACTCCGGCCTCGACGGGATAAAGGGCCGAATTGGTATCTTAGAGGCCGAAGTAAATGCGCTGGCGCAATCATCTTATGGGTCTCCCTCACCAAGGTCTGGAAGTGCGAACAGTCGATGAGGAACAGTTGGACGGACAAGAACGCATCATTACAAGAATTGTATCAGGATTGGGAATTGTACGGCATGCATGGATATGGAGTTTTGGATAGGTCTTAAACGGGTGCGAAAACCGCAGAAACTTGAGCATGAGCCGGCACCGGCGCCGGGGCGGGACCTGTAACGGGAGCCGGAGCCGGAGCCGTAGCCGGAGCGGACACGGGAGTTAGTCCTGGAGTTGGGACCGGAGCTGGAGCAGGAGCTGGAGCTGGATCTTCAGCAAAGTCGGCAATAGGTCCAAAGGCCTAGGGAACCATTAGCACGGCAACTCAAACAGCATGTAAACAGCCAACTTACTGCAGAGTCAAGATCCGCCCAATCCGTAAACGTCCAGTTATCCCAAAGCCTCCTCGTTAAACCTGGCGTCGTGGCCTCCCCCTCCTGATCTGCAACTTGATCTTGCACCGATCCAACCATTTCTGCCGCCCAATGAGCGCGAAGGGCATCCTCCAGCAACTGATCATCTGGCGACACGCCATCAGCCTCTTCAACTTCATTTTCAGCCTCCTCATCCTCCTCCTCCTCCCCATTCTCCTCCCCATCCGCTGGGGTATTCTCATTTGCAGCTTTCTTGTTAGCACCGCTCGCCAGACTTGGGAAGACATGACCTGTCTGGCGCGTCACCTCCCTTTTGAGCTCCTCCAATATGATGGCCCACTTTCGCGCGGGCGAATAGGGACTGGTATCCGACGCCAACATCTTGATGCCTCTTTCCACCAGCTTGTGCAACTTGCCATCCATCACTTCATGGCCGCGGTAGTGAGGGCCACCAAACAATTTCTGGCGCTCGCGAATGTGCGGGAGGATGATCAAGACGACGGCGGCGCAGTAGGCGACCTGGTGGGGGTACCAGAGCGTCACAAATTGCGCGTTGTCCTCTGTGCGACCAAGGCCGGTGACGACACTGAGGCTGACTCGTGCCGCGTCGACGCACTCGCGGATGGCGTAGTCAGTGGCTTCTTTCAGTTCGCCTGATTGAGGGTAGGGCGTGGTGAGAAAGGGCCGGTAGGCAAGCATGGTGGCATGACAGTGTGCTATCCGGATGAAAACCATCTGCCTCTGGAAAAGGGGAAGCAGCAAGGTGGGCTTAAGATTCCTGAGGAGGTATGGCAGCTCGTCCCTCCACTGCTGAACCTCTTTGCCGATGCGTAGAGCGCTATCGATCCTTTGCTGGTCGGGGATCTCTCGAAGCGAGTATACTTGGTGGAGGAGCTTGTCGATGAGCTTGTTCAACTTGGCATGGGAGACCAGTGCTTCCATGTAGCAATCCCCCTTGTGTGCCCGAACAGGGCCAGTGGGCCCCATGTCCTCGTCGTTGACAGCGTCTGGAAGCTCCTGATCGATGAAATCGTCACGGAAGTGGCTGGGTCGTCCAAAGACCATGCTGAGTTGTTTGTCGATAATGTAAGCCGTCCAGAATGTCCGCCTCTCGCACTGGAGCTTGGCATAGTCCGGTCTTTTGATAATGTCGCGTCCAAGTCCACGGTTTCTGCCCACACGCCGATGAAGACCGAGGCTTGTGATCATCTGAAGGGTATTGCCAAATGTATACCAAGCTTTGTTCAAACGGCATGTGCTCAAGAGGTACAAGTCCTGCAAGAGGCGAGCTTGGACAGAGTCTAACCTCGGATCGCCTTTCTCGGCATCTGTGAGATTTAGGGCGGTGTTTAGCAATGAATCGCCGTATTCGAGGGACCAGATATAGTCGTCTGGAGGAGGCATTTTCCTGCTCTTCATCGCCTTGCCGGTTTTTTTGTTCATGCGCACCCACGACTTTGGAGCATCCCTGAAGAGCGAGCCAAGAGCCATGGTCATAAGGGCAACAGCGGCACGGGCATGGCCTACACCATACCACAACTCCTGACGAGCCACAAAGTTCTTTTCAACTTGTTCCAACCAATTCCGTACGGTGTGACGATGGAGAAAATGGAAGGTGCCGTTCCAGCTCCTGAAGAAGTGGTCCTGCTGTTGGTACCACCTCTGTCGATTGGATGGAAACCGAACGGTTGTCGAACGGTCCCAGGGCTGATCAAGAGGAAGCTGAGAAGTACGCTGGACCTGGGCAAGCTTTTTCCAAGCCGCCTGAAGAAAGACAAGAGGTGGAGTGTCCTCCTCTCCGTAGCGGCGATCAAGCTTGAGGCTCAGGTAGTCCTGTTCAGGGCCGCCGTGGCGAGCAATGTCGTCTCTCATGGCCTGTCCCTCAGCATCACCTTCACCATTTCCAGGTCCTTGGACAGGTTGTGGCAGATCGTCAGGCCCCAAGACAGCATCAACCAGTGCGGGCTTGTGGTAGGGACCCCTCAATTCCGGGTTCGGAAGATCTTCGTATCGGTTGCGACTGTTGCGTTTCTTGTAGGTGCACTCCTGCCTCATGGTGAAGCACCTATCGCACGGTAGAGTGCCTGAACAGGGATGGCGTCCATCCCGACAGATATCGCAGGCTCGCTTGACCCAGCTTCGCTCACGTATCTCCTTTCCGCGGATGTCTGTGGTACGGGCAAAGTTGCGGGTGTTGGGATCATTGGGAGGTGGAGGAGGAGTCCTTGCGCGGCCTCGGTAGTAGGGGTTGTTGTAGGTGCACTCTACGCCTTTCTTGATGCAGTTTGCGCATGGCTGGAAGCCCTGGCACTTTTGACGGCGGCCATGGCAGGCATCACACGCCCGGGTGATCCTCTGCTTCTTCTTGGCAGGCCTGTCCTCTGAAGGCTCCTCCGGGGTCTGCCGTTCTTGGGATTCTTGTTGTTGTTGTTGCTGCTGCTGCTGCTGCTCTGGCTGTGGTTGCTGTGGTTGTTGATCAAGCTGGCCTTGTCCTTGAGCCCCATACTGTTGCTGCTGGGGATTGGACTGCGATGACTGAGAACGGGAAGCATAAGCCTGCTGCTGGATTTGGGGATGTTGGAATTGTGGGAGTTGTTGCACTGGCTGGACGTGCTGGACGTGCTGGGGAGGCTGGTGATATTGTTGGGCGTTTATCTGCTGGGAGGGGTACGAGGGCAGGGGAACGCGTGTGGTGGGCGGCGCATTGCCGTAATAGGAATTATACAAAGGATTCTCATGATGATTGGACATGATGGGGGCCCCAAGTGATGCGATCCTGGGATGATGGGCGCAAGCGGTGGTGCTCGGGATATTGCAAGCCAGATAACCTGATTCGGAGGTCACCAGACTCGATGGCAGCGACCACGGAAAAGTGGTTCAGTTCCGTTCAGTTCAACACACCATGTCATTTCAGGGTTAGGGTTACACCCGCCATGTACATCCCACCTCATTGAGCGTCACTCCTCACATTAGCCTCGGTATCTACGATTGAGAGGTCCTTGCCAGATTGGAAGAGAGAGAAAAACTTTTCATCAAGTTCTTACTATTCATAACTCAAGGAAAAGCGGTGGTGTCTCCATCATGATTCATACATCAACAACAGGTCCAGAAGCGGGCGACTTGGACCAAAAGGCGGGTCAGGGTTGATGCGTGACGATACTTGTTAAGCTCGAGGCATGCAGGTGACTGCTCCTGTTTGATCCCACCGGCCGCTGTCCTCCACTCTCCATGCCTTTATATTTACATTCTATCGATAGCCGCTTTTTCACATATATAGCTTATACAGCCTATGCAAGTCCCATAGGACACCTCCCCCCACCGGCGCTACCAGTGCAACCGCCCTTAGCCAACACCTCCAATCTTCTCCTCTCCAAATCCCTCACCATCTCCTCAATCTCTTCCTTCCCCTGTTCCCTCAATTTCTCGGGGCCAACCTCATGGATGTGATAGCCCTCCGGCTGGAACCTGCTACCCCCATCACCCGGAACCGGAGCCCCAGCCAAGCGACTCAGTAGGGCCGACGGTCCCCAGCGTTTCCAAAACGTCGGCTTCACATACCACGGGTCAAGTTCGTATACGTTGTAGTGATACTTTCCGGTGGCTGGGTCGACGTTCTTGTCGATTTTGTGGAGGACCATCCACTCGGGTCGGGGAGGGCTGAGGTGGAGGAGCAACCAGCGGCGGAAGAGGAGGATCCAGGTCAGGGACTTTTCTTGCCATTGAGGCGGTTCGGGGAAACTAGACGTAGAATGACGGTTAGTATCTCACCGGGGCGGGCAAAGCGAGAGAGAGAGAGAAAGAGAGAGAGAAAAAAAAAAAAAAAAAAAAAAAAAAAAAAAAAAAAAAAGGTGGGAAGCATACTTCATAGCCTCTCTCAACTTCTTCCCCATCAACACCCCAATAAACCCTTTCCCAACGCCCCTCAAAAAGCTGGGCTGGCTCAACAGCAACAAATCCACCGTATGTTTCGCCACCTTTTCGTTGCTTTCGGTATACCGCACCTCCGTATCTTCATACCAATCACTCCACCGCTTCATCTTTTCCATCCACTCCAGTCCACTCTCCTCCTCTTCTCGCTCCTCCCCCTCCTTCTTCTTCCTCCCAAACCTGTCCAAATCCTCCATCCCAATCCCCATCAACTCCCCCACCTCCCTCCACACCACACCCAACGCACACCTCTCCACCACACTCACCTCCCTCCACTCCCACCTGCCGATCCACCTCTCCGGCTCCAGCGCAAACATGCTCAGCGTGTACAGCATATCCCCGTTCTTGATCCGTCCCGCCTTCTGCCACCGGCCATGCAACCAATTCATTCTCGCCAGCGCCTCCAGCCCCCTCTTCTCCCAGGGCGGGTTGATGATGATTTCCCCAATCAGGACCTCGGTGTCGGTGGCTCGCTTGGAAGCACTTTGGGTCGCGGAAAGTTGGCCTGTTGCTAGCAAAAGGGACGAGATGGAGGGGATCGAGTAGGTCTTGAAGAGGGCGAAGAAAAGGGAGCGCCTATAGAGGTAGGGAAACTCGCGCTGGGAGAGGTCCATGTGGATTTGGTGGGCGTCTTGAAGGGTCATTTTGTCCAGATTGGTGGGGGAGCCATCCGGGGCGAAGTAGTGCGGGAAGCGGGTGCGGTAGGAGTGCAGGCGCTGGAAGCGGAGGTAGCGAATGAGGAGGAGGTAAGAGGGAACGAGCACGGTGAGGATGGTGGTCCAGCTCCAGACGAGACTGGTTGGTAGAGGTAAGGAGGGTATGATGGCTGACATGAGGCTATCGGGTGGTGATGGTGTCGTGGTGTTCATACTGATGATGCTGAGGTGGGTAGCATGAGAGCAGGCCCTTTCTCTCGTTTTTGAAGCTGAAGTGACGTAGGAGGCTTGAGCATTGTAGGACAAAGGGGACAAAGGCTACTTATACTGATGCACTTCGTGAACTTGTGCCCACCCCTCAGTTTCCGGATATGTATTTGCATGTCTTGTCTCGGTAGTGGAGTAGACAGATGTACAGTTCACCCCTTAAAGTTCGTTAGCGTGGTACTTACAGAGAGCTCTTTTACCACTTTCAGATTGGCTATACTAGAGCCCTAGCGTGACAGCGTCTCATTCGTTATTGCCCACTATGAATGGAATCAATGTTTTGGTGCATGTGAGTGAGACACACGCTGGTTTGGTTTTGCGGTTGTCTGAACCAATAGGAATGCTGCAATCATTGGCCTCTCCCTTCTTAAAAGAGGGTGCAAGTCTTATGCTAACAAACTTTCAAGCATTGAACTGTACGTCTACTATGGTAGGGATAGGACAAACACATTTGCGCTCGCACCCCGGTATCACACACCATCTCCGCTCGCTGGAATCTCTCCATCCGTTCGGTCAGATAGCAGAGTGGGAGGGGCGAATCCTGGTACCCGCTCGCCTCGGTTGATCATCGGTTGATGGTTCATTCAGAATGCGGTTGCAGTCCCATGTTTCACGGCATGAACCATGTTGCACTGGCGGCCTGGTTATTGCGCGCATTCTTTGAAGACACCACTCCACCAAATCTTTTCCGTCGACATGCCCATCGTCATAATTATCATGAAGTAATATCGACGCATAGCTGCTTACGCGAAGAGATTTTACTCGCTAGCCGAAACATGATTCGTGACTGATCAGAGGTGCCCGAAAGGTGTGGAGTGACGATGCATGGCATCAGACACCGTCAGTGAGATTTTGGCGTGTTGCAACTTTCAAAGCCATCGGCAGCGCCGGCGTATGACCCCTCTTGATCTAAAGTCCTCCCATCAAACATTCCATTCAACCGTCTTCCTGTATCTTCCGCGGTTGCCAACTGAAGCGTTAAAAAATCAACTCATGCCAGAAAAATATGTGTCTGGAATGTCATCTTCTCTTAAAAAATAGTTTGCACACAATATCAAGAGCCTCAGATAATCCTCTCAAGATGCCTATATATCGAGTTTGCCAGGTTCACTGGTCTTTGATCTTATCCCGTCTCCAACTCCTCAATTCCGACCACAAGTTGTTCTTGTCTTTTCCCTCGCCTCGAGTCCTGCCAAAATCGTGCGGAAGAGTCAAATCCGAAAAGGGAACGAAGCCACCACCCAAATCGAGAAGGGGAACCATAGACGGTCGCCCATGTGCACACTGAAACGGGAATGCACAATTGGCCAGCCGCAAGACCAAGCTGCTGCATTCATCCAGAGACAGTTCGTCGTTGAACATGATGGCGCCTGGACTTGTTAGCATAATGACCTCTCATGCCGAGGGAGCAAAGGAGAACTCACTTCTACAAGACCTAGAATTCAACAACTCCAACATACCTTCCGGGCAATCATGGAACCTAGCGACCCAGTCACGTTCTCCCTCTTTCTCGGTGGCGCTGATCCCACGACTCGCAGACAAGCCCCGACCGGGGTTGTCATTCAGCCTCCATATCTCCTTTCGAAGCAACTCGACCAGCACTCGCGGCTCCAACCGACACCGCTCCAAAACGCTGGGTGGCAGTGACTGTACTTCCACGGTGAACCTCGTCGAGTGTTCCTGGCGTGCAAAGACTTCGTAGAAAATGCCCCAGTACTCAAAGTGTGCTTTGTATCTGACAAGAAGGTTCCCGTCTTGCTTTGACAGGTCGAAGCGGAGAGGGCGTTGTAGGGATTGCGTTCGGGCCATCATTTGGTCCGACTCTGTGGCATCTGAGCGGCGGACAATGGTGAAATAAGATTTCATCAAATCTTCGACGCGGATTCGCTCGTCAGCCGCGTGCTGATCGATCAGCATCAGGACGCTTCGGTCAACGTCGGAGCTGGGAGAGACTTTGTCTACTTCCGTGGGAGCCAGTTTGACAAAGATGAATTTCTTATCAACTTGTGCAACGACAATTGCCGTACGCAGGGCATCTCTGGAGATTCGGCCCTGCAAGGTAACCAAGGCCCCTCCATTGGTTAGTTCCACATTGACGGCTCCCATAGAGTGGCGACTACAGCTATGATGAGCGCCTTGCTCCGAAGACTCGTACAACCCGGGCACATGGGGTATGGGAGCTTCGACAGGCTTGAAAGCGGTTCTTCTTGACGCCGGGACACCACCTTGACGTAGTGACTCCTTTTGACGTGGCTTTGGAGTGTCTCGAGGTCTCGTTCCGGGGGCAGAATGGGGTCGAATCACAAAGCCAGTCCGCGGATCTATGAGTGTTCTGGTATTCGTAGTGGGATCTACCCACTCCACATAGTTGTCCGTCTTGCTGCTTTCCAAGCTTGGGGGCAGACTGGACTGTCGACTCTGTCCCCGTGACGCGAAGGGAGCATTGCTTGATGGATGTGGCTCGACATCCTCGAACGGCTTTCGTATGAGCTTACCGGCTCTGTCAAACAGTGGATTTTGAGCCCACGGGACGATTTCCACACTTTGAGTAGGTGTGCTGGCAGATTTGACGACTCCGTCTGTAGAAAAGGCTGAACTACCTTCCTTAATATGACGGTTGACTGAGCTGGCCGAAGAACTACTGGGAGTCGATCGCGCTAGTCCCGAGGGGGTGTGCTTCTTGTCGCGACTGGAGGCTGCCTGTGAGGATGAAGGGGAGCCAGACCTTTTGAGACCACTGGACTCGGGTAATGAGCCTCTTGGAGATCTGAGTCTTTCCAAGGCATTGACAGGCTTGGGCCGGAAATGGTGTTTCTTTAAGAACTCGTAGGCTATCACCTGAAGAAGGTCGGTGATGATGGAGAGGTCCTGCTGCCTTTCGTCTAGAAAGTTATCGGCATTGAGAGAACCCTCTTGCCCGGACATGATGACTTGAAGAAAGAACATGGGCCATCGATCAATTCCTTTTCTTGACTTGAGTTCTTTTAAAGTGAATCCTTCTCTCCTCCTTGGCTGCCCTTCGTTGAGTGCTGCTTCTTCGATGACGCCAAACCCGGAATTTGCAAATACGCGGTTGACCTCCTCGTACAAAATATTGGACTCGTTTTCATTTGATAGGAGTCGTATGCCCAAAGACATGAATTGCACCCGCCTTGTTGCTACAGGGACGAGACAGAAGCAGCCGCTCACAGAAACACCAGGTACGGAGGCTCCAACTGGAACCCATGACTTGGAGTCCTGTTCCTCAGTCAGTGAAGCTTGAGCAAAAAGGCTGGAGGCCCGCAGCACCAGTTCATCAGCAAGGTTTCGACGGTCTTGGGACTGGTTGGCTATCCCGGAAGTGCGAAGCGTAACAAAATGTTGAGAAAACGCGTCCCGGACGGATACAGTAACCTCGTTTGGCCAAGCAAGAAGGAGGGAAACAATGGTATGGATGAGTTGGTCAAGGCTCTTAGCCGTGCCCAGTCGTTCAATTTGGGTGGCCCTCTGCTTTACGCGGACGGGCATGGAGCCGAAAAGGTTGCGAACAGTAACACGCGTTCCACTTGGAAAGGCCAGAAGGCGCTCTTCGGGAAGAGCAGGAGTGTTGCGGGCCACGATACGGGAGTTGTAAATCGTTAAAGCGTTATGTGAGCGGTGTTCATGATGATGAGAAGAGATGGAAAGCAGAGACAGAGCTGCTAAAGAAGCTAGGAACTGGCCATGTCTTCCATGGAAATCGGGATGTGGCGGATATCGCGAGGTATAGTGAAGCTTGCCGAGACCGCCCTCCTCACGAAAACAGGCTGGAGGTATACCGAGCCCATCATCCTCGACCGAGCAGTTTCCACGGCTGTAGTCGATAGAAATATTGATCTTGGTTGCACTGGCGTCGAGTGAGTTTCGAAGCAGGCCATCAACAACGCCGTTCAGGGAGGTAATAACCGTTGAAGACTTGATCTGGGCGATAACGTCCCCAGGGAGTGGTTGGATGGACATTGTGGTGGATGATGTGAGTCCAACATGACTTTTTGGCAGAAAGGTCTCGGCGGGTGGTCGGCGATGCAAACAGACACTGTTGAGCTCTAGAAGGACGGGACCTGCCCAAGAGAGGCAGCAAGGGAATGGAATGGAAGTGACGTAAGTATAAGAATAAAAAGTGCGATGGGTTAGGCCTGTCAATTGAAAGTAGAGGATGCAGTTGAAGGAAGCAGCTTGGATGAAGCCATTCAGAATCAACCGAAGCAAAACAGAAAGAAGACGTCAGGTCAAAGCTCTCTCTGTCTTGGCACTGGCCACCCCGACAACTGAAGAGAGCGAGACAAGGAGCACCCAGATCACCTCACACATGGGTCTGACCTCGGATCACATAAGGAGCGCCAAGACTGCGCCAAGACATTTGCCCCACACTGTAAGCAAAACTAGACCGATACCGGAGTTCTTAACAGTTATATCAAACCTATTTTATTAATAATACTAAAATTTAGGTAAACCTATCCCGGACCTATTCTGGACCTATCTTGGACTAATTCCTAATTTGGTTTTGAAAGAAAATTATTTAAAACTTGATTACAATTAATCTCATAATTTAGACTAATATAGCTATATAATATAATTTATATAATTAATAATACAAATCTATTTATATAATATAAATAAAAGGAATATTCTGAAGAATAGTTCTAGACTAGTCCTAAACTAATACTTAACCAATCTTTAACTGATCCTTAACTAATCTAAAAAAAAACAATTTAAAAATAAAGTTAAAGAGTTTAAATACTTATATTATATATATATTTATAGAAGTATAATATATTATTTATAGTAAAATTCTAAAATAAACAACTTATAAATTATTTTCTTAATTATAAATATAAATTCTCTATTTTAAATTTCTGTTATATAAGGACCTATACTAAATATGTCCTGAATCGGTCCTGAACAAGTCACAGATTTTAATATAGATTAACATAAATAAAAGAGGTTTTTTTTCTTTTTTTTCTTAATCTTTAAAGGACTTGTTCAGGACAGGTTCCGGATTGGTCCATTTATTTGTTAGTGAAGTATAGTAAGGATACAGACTTTTATACACGTTGCAGCGCTCCGATCGTGGTCCGAGGTCAGACCCATGTGTGAGGTGATCTAGGAACTCCGAGACAAGACAAGTGAACCTTGATGGCCATGGTTCTTGGCAAGGCACGTGAGAGCAGAAGCTCCACGGCGGACCCCAGGGGTCGAAACATTTGGCTCCACAGATCGGAAAGGCCCGCCCGAACTTGGTGGATCCCTTTTCTGTACAGTCGCCATGCCGTCGCAGTTGGCTGGAAAATGACAGTGCAGTGCAACTTGTACAATTCAGTACAGTAGAAATCCCAGTAGATGCAAGTCTATATGAAGTTACCTAGTAATTGCAAGTGTCCCGGAGGCCAGGAATCACCCAAACTGTAGTGTATGTGACTGGGACCCCAGTAAATGCGAAATATCCAGCAGATGCAAGATTTTTCTGAGACTCCCCATAGAGTTTGAGTTAGTTGCATCCACTAGGGTCTTTACTGTACCCCAGCTGACCCAAAGTCCACCTCATGCGCCGTTGCCGTTCCAATAAAAGTGAACAAAGACGCGACACAGATGCTGTCATCATCTCTTCGTCGTAATAGTAGGTACTTTTCAGAGTCAGCAATCAATCACGGTTCTTTGTCCTACCCTGTGACCACTTTACATACTTCAAGTCGCTGGGTTGGTATTATTGGGCATGCTTCCAATTGCGAATACAACTGAACCGAATCGTTCTTTTATCGTCTCTGAGGAAAATCGCGACCGTGTCTCGACCTGTCAATCAATCAATCAACAGATGGCATGATTGCATTCTACGTCTAGTGTACATATCCTTGCCGACAGGCCCGTCAAAGAAGCACTGACGCTACGTTCGCAACTGACTCGACCGACCGACTTCAATCAATACGTATTCGATACAACACTCCTCTTTCCATCTCACCGTTCACCATCCACCTCCTTCCTCGCTACAGTACCTAGCTATCCCCTTCAGTCCGTCCTTCCTCTCGGCGACAGGAAGGTGAAACCGTTTGGTCGTTACAAGACCACCGTACCTGGGTTGTAATCTGCCCCAAGGACCAGTCCCGTCAGTGCAGTCTGTGCAGAAGCCGCCCGTTAGGTAGGGAAGTGGTACAGTTCGGACACAGCAAACACAACTAAAAGCAGGTGAAACTCGCTGGCCTTGGCGATCGTCCCGTCGCCCGTTCAACACGCGCCCTGATCTTCTTTCCTTCTTCCTAGCTACACGCTACCTCTACCTGTACCTACACTAGACCCGGGCAAGCAAACATCCAGAACCTAGTATTCCGCCGACCCGCGACTGATGATTTGACGACTACTGCTCGACCTTCTGCGACTGGCCTCCGCCGCTGCCACTGCCACTGACTGCTAAGACGACGACGACCCTTGCTTTGCGACTGCACTACCGCACGGATCCATAACCATATCCGCCAGATATCGACATCGACTCTACTAACCGCGCCCGTGTAATTCGACTGGACTGGCACCGTCTTCTCCAGTTCCTGCCGCTCTGCCACAACCATCATGACCGAGACGGCTACATCTTGTCACCACGGTACTGATTCTCTCATCTGAAACCTTGTCCACTCTTTGCGCTACCTACCCCCTCGTTCTCTCTGACCTTGCACCCATTCATCACACCGTCCCTCGTTCAACATGCATTCCTTTGCCTCTGCCTTTCGCCATCGGAGCAATTCTGCTCCACCACTGAGCCAGTTCAGCCGTCATTCAGTCGCTGACCCTATGCCAGACCGAGATGATCGTCCCGAGAGGACTGGTCGCCGACGACCCTTCTCGTCGCTAATGAAAAAGTTGAAGAGCATGAAGCCCGGCGATGCTGTTCGACATGCCAGCTCCAAGCGAAACAACGTCAAGAAACAGACCGACAACAACCCATACGCAGCCGTTGGCCGCTCCTACTCGGACCACATCCAGATCGCACTGACCCCGCCGCCGACCAGTCATTATTCGCTATCTTCGACAAGAAGCGCGAGAACATCGAGCACAACATCTAATGAACCTTCCGACGAGTCTGTCAGGTTGTCCGCCGACGGCCGCCCACCCCCAACCATGGGCGGTCGATCGACCATAGCTCCAACTGTCGTCACCGATCACGAGACCTCGTGTTCTATGGCCGCCCCGTCCTACGGGGCCTCCTCGGTCACTGGCACAACTCGCACCGTAAATATCGACTCCCGTCGGGGAAATGATAGCACCTTTTCGTCCCCCGCGCCGTCTGTCCGCTCCTTGACTACAACCCTGACGACAATACAATCTTTGATGCCCAATGGCGCCGCTGCGATGCACAACAACAACAGCAACCAGAACAGCACCAATACGTCCAACAGCCCTAATCACCACCATCACAACCATCATTCTCAGCACTCCAACTCACAAGTCATTCACTTCAACCAGCCTTTCCCAACGACGGCCACTCCCGTCTCCGCCATTCCAGCCCATCTTGTGCCCTCGGGTCAGGGTGGAAACTCGCCTTTCTACCCAACAACCTACCATACCGCCACGGCGAACAACCTGCTGACCGACAACGCCTCCATCCTAACCCTCGCATCCTCCTCCAAGCGCCGCCGTCGCCGCTCCTTCGACACTGACGCCTCGGTCCGTGCTCTCGCGCCCTCCTCTCTCTTCGGAGGCAGTCGCGAGTCTCTTCCTCTCAGCGTCCTCAGTTCCAACATGGAAGGTGGTACAAGTGGGGGCATTACCGGCGCCACTACGCCCGGTGGTTTATACCGTGGACCCAACGGCTTAGCCAACGATCGCACAAGCATTTACTCCTCTACTACAGGAATCCTAGCCAGCGACAGGAACAGTTTCTACGCGAAGCAGGCCATCGGCGGGCCGGGTGCCGGAGGAGACGCAGCTAGTGTGAGGAGTGGGCTGCTGGGGCATGGAAGGGCGGAGAGCATCAGTGGCAGTATCGGTGGGGGATTTACTTCTGCGCCGATGAATGGGAGCTTGGTTGGGCTCACGGCTGCGGCATCGCCTAGTCCATTGGCTAGTCCGAGGGATAGGGACAGGGAAAGGAGAATTAGTGGCGGGGTTGGTAATGTGGATGAGGATGTGGAAGGGGAGGAGAGGGCATGATGGAGTCTGGGCTGTACGGGTGACGAGGATGGAATGAATAATGGTAAATACGCTGAGGAACTGGGACAGAACAGGAACATACTAATGGCATGGTGTTCTGGGACGGAAACAGGGTAATGGGTGAAACAGGATTCTCGGGTTATATGTCTGGGCTCAAGTGTTGGCGTTTTGTTCTTCTGTCTATCGTGTGCATTATTTTTCCACTGAGAATGGGATACCTCTGCAAGCTCTGATGGTCGCTATGGAAACAGGCAGGTTCTCTTTGACTGAAAATCTTTTCTGGGCTGTTGATTTATCTTCTGGCATCAAGTTCCTCGCTTTTGTCTTGTTCAACTTTTGTTTTACTTGCCATGTTTTTCTCAACACCGCTGCATCTTCTCGAGACTCGATCTCGCTTTCGGAATGCTCTTTCCCTGTTGTTGGTCTTTCATCCCTTTCTTTGGGCATCCTTGTTCAGCGCCGTTACCTCTTGCCTCTTTTCAACCGTTCCTTCCCCATCGGGTTCGGTTTTCGTCTCTGTTCGGTTCCATTAGGGCGGTATTGATTGGCGTTTACATGTATTGTACACTTAATTCGTAACTAATTCACAAATAAAGTTGACATCACACAACGTAATTTCAATATGTTTAGACAGGAGAATGTGAAGTCAGGCGCCAAGAATGAAGCTTCGCACGTACAGCTTGTGGGTTTTTTTTGTACCTCCGCGGCATTCTTGAGAGATTGGCAATGGTCAGACAGCTCCAGAGTTGCTCCAGAGTTGTACCGATTTGTCCATCCATCTGTTGGTAAAGAAGGGCTTGGTAATCCAACTCTGGTCCTGCGAAGCTCACAATTATCTTAACAGCAGTCATCTTTACGCAGAGATGCATTTCGATAACGGCGTACAAGACAGGTTAAAGTAGGTTGAAATTTCAAGAAAGCGAGATGATCCCCAGTTCCAGATCACAGAGACATGGAATTGCCTACTTATTTACAGGACAGGGTCAACACGTTGTTGGGGTTTCCCAATATACATTCCGATGCTGGTTTGTTTGTTAGCTTGGTACACTAGGTAGGTACTTCTGGTAGTGTGTACTAGACGAAATCAATCCTGAATAGTCCTAAAGCTTATAAAGTGAGTGAAAGTGGCTGATTACGAATTATAAAGGCATTAACAGGAATCGATATAATCTATTGAATATTAGAAATGGCGTTTCCAAGGTAACAACACGCATTAGTTAGCTATGAAGACGCATAGGAAAGTTGACACAAGGTCTCGAGCTAACAAACAAACCAGTAATGGACTGTAATACTAGAGTAGTCGGGTAATACAACATGTAGAGTTGGCCCGCTTGACATTGATGAGTGTTCAATGGAAGAGTATCTAGCGACAGTACGAGATGTTGAGAGAATACGGCTTAGTCAATTCGTCCACAGAAGTCTCGCATCTTCGACTGCATTTTTCAACGCATCCAAAATACCGGCATGACCAAAACCATTCTCATTGGTACGGCAAAGGCGACAAGTCAAGGCCTTCGACCGTGAGTTTGAAGGAGTCGTTCCTAAGCACCACGAGTTAGCTTTGCGCGCCTACTGGACAACAAGATATCACATCAGGCAAAGGAAAAGAAGCATACCTCGAATAACTCCCCGCAGTATCCAAATCCAGCCGTCCGCGGATACAATCCTCAAAGTCAACATCCGCCCATATAATCCCCTCATCATCCTCCCACTGCGGACCGGCAAGCACGTCTCCAAACGGCGAGACAATCGCCGAGCCACCACGAGACACAAACTCTTCCGCCGTCTTGGCACCAGTGGACCTATCAATAACAGGGGACTTGAACGTTTTCCCATTGTTTTCCGGCTTGGGTGCCAGAGCCGGAGCCGGAACCGATGCTGCTGGAGTAGCAGCAGAAGACAAGGAAGTCTTGGCCGTCGTGGTGGACACGGCCTCGTCGTCAACCCCGGCTTCCGCCTCGACTTCAACAACACCTTGCTCGTTGCAGCAGGGCAGGACGATCTCGTTGCCGTCTTCGTCGAAGATGGACTGTCTGCGGATATGCTTGGGACGGCTGTGACTGTCGTTGTGAGAATACGGCGAGGGGTCGGCGATGGCGCTCGTGCCGGTTTGCTGCTGTTGCTCCTGCTGCTGGGCGAGAGCGGGGCCACCGTTGGTCTTGGCTTGTTGCTTGTCTCCATCTTTGCGCACACACATGTTGGAACTGACAACAAAGCACCGGCCTTCAATGGCAACGGTCTTCATCAGGGGTAGCCATGTGTCACGGCCGTCGGCGGTCGGAGCAAGATAAAGGTTGATGTTCTGCGAGTAGAGCGATTGGCGAAGCATGGGCATGTAGTTCTCCCAGCAGATGGCAGCGGCGAGGTTGACGCGGACGCCGCGGATGACGGTGCTAACGGCGCGAAGGGTGGCGGGAGAACCTTGGGCCCAAACTAGTCGTTCGATAGCGGTCTGTTTTTGGGAGTTTTGGCCTTAGCTTACGCTATCATTGTACATTCGCATAGAAAAGGGGAAAGACACTCACAGGCATAACCTTTCTCCTCTTCCCAATCATGCCCATCTTCGGACACAAATAAACCGCACTGCAATAGAGACTCCCGCCCGCCTTCTCGATACACCCCGTCACCAAGAACACCCCCGTCTCCCTCGCGATACGTTCCAACTCCTCCCTGGTCCCATCCCCCCTCTTGTTCTTCACCTTGTCCCCCTTGTCCCCCTCCTGCACCCTTCCCTGAATCTCATCACCAACCAACTCCCTCCGCACCCACTTCTCCAGCCCCCCGGCACCCCCTTCCCCAACGATATCCCCCAAATCTACCGCGGCCTGGAAGTACCGGAGGTACTCGTCCCTCCCCTCGGCCGACCGCGAGCCCATAACGCACCCAAAGTTGGTGCCGCGCGGGTAGCCGCCAATGTAGGCCTCGGGGAGGAGGAGAATGTCAACATGATTGGAGGCGGCGCGGCGGGCGAGGTGGGAAATTTGCGAGAGGGTTTCGGGGGTGGTGGATTGGGTGGAGGGGGAGGCGGTAGCGATGCGGATTTTAGAAGGCGCCATGTTCGCGGTTGTTGTTGTTGTTGACGAGGCGGGTTGTGGTTGTGGTGTGGTAAGATATAACCTCACTGTTGATGACTCCGGTATGGGAGCAGGATCAGGATCAGGATAGCAAGAAGTGAGGGAACACAAAATGAATAACAGCTTGGGAGGAGCTCAAGGGAGCTTGAAGCAAAAGAGGGGAAGCTCCTTAAAGCTATTCCCACGAGGTTAGACTTCCATCATGCATGCAACCAAATTAGTCACCGTCACGATGACTCCTGTCGTCCCTTCTAGAGCTCCAAGCGCGGGGGACCTCGGCATCCATCGGCGTCTTGGTTCTTTGTGTTCGTTTCCAGAGCCGTCAAAGTATCGGAAGCTTCCGGCCCCACCCCACGACACGACACGACGGAAGTGGTGAGAGTCATCTCAGCTCGGCAACGGGCTGTTATCACGAGCGGCCGGGGTTCGCCTAAGTACATAGGTTGAAGGGAGGTGGTGATTGACTTGATCTATTGTTGAAGCTGGGATCAGGGGGTGTCGCCTCAGTGGCTGGCACCCCCGCATTTCAGGGAAGACGAAGCCGCTAAGACCGTTGAAACGGGGTTATCGCGCTGGAGGGACTACCGAGGTACAGTCCAGTACTGGTGTGCTTGTTAGCTCGGTACGCTAGTACAGTGGCCCAAGTGTGACTTGGGTCGTTTATCTAAAAGTTCCAAAAACTAAAGTCTATACCAGCTGCAGGCATTAGGCTTGCACTGGGGGGTGGTATCAGATCCTTGTATATACCTACTTCTAACCTTGATAAACTATCTCCTACAGTGACCCAAGTTTGGGTTATACTCAATTGAAAATTAGTCCAAGCTTCCATCTAGCCTCAACTGCAAGCCATTTTATATCAACGCCTCCATCCATCTCCCGTCCTTCACACCCATTAATACAATAAAGTAAGTGCTAATCACTATTTATCTTAATATTCTTTTAACATTTTTCTTCTTCCCT